CCCAGTTAGCTACCGTGGGCAAATCTATGTTTCAGAGAGCTTATGGTGTCTGCGACAGTAATCATCTGGCAGGGGAACTTCAGCATATAAAGCAAGTCCTACATGCGAATAAGTTGAAGATACCACGCCAATGCCGCAGGCCCCGTGTGAAACTACCAACAGTTGAGCGAAGACCTGCCATTTTACCTTACGTGAGAGGTGTTACAGACAAGATCTATCAAGACCTACTTCAAGCTCTTGAGGAAGATTTCTCAGTTCCTGAGACCCGTGAAATGTAACATCCCCTTACAGGATGCAGGATTTTACAAGCTTAACTGTGAGTGTGGTATCTCTTATATTGGACAAGCGAAGCGAAGTATTTGTACCCGCGTCAAAGAACATATATCTGATGTCATACACCGTCGCGTAAACTAGTCTGCAATCTGCGAGCATGTCATGGATAAAGCTACACATTCAATGAAGTTTGACAAACCCCAGGTCCTTGCAAAAGAAGTCCGTTGTTTACCCAGGATGCTCCGATAGGCCATTGAAATTAAAAAAACATCCTAATTTCAACAGAGAAGATGGTTTCTCTGTACCACCAGTTTGGGATCCTGTATTTCCTCTGATGAAAAATCCCAAACAGACATAAGACTGCAGTACTAATTAATATGTTTTAATTTATTCTGATTTCTGTTATTAATTAATAATAAATTGAACTTAATAAAAATTCATTCAACACAATAATTTGTAAACGTAATGTAGCGTAAATTGGAATGTTTCTTTGTAAAATTAAAAATAAGGTATTTAATTAATAACTTTTGTAACTATAGTGAAAAAATAGGGTGGTTTGCATTAATATTAGACATAACTGGTTGATGACTGTACCACCTTAGTCAACCGTGACCATGGGACCTGTAAAGGGCTCGAAACGTCGGTTTGTTTGAAAAAACAAATATACGCGATTTAAATCCGGAAAAATAGTTTCATTTCCTATAAATAAATAGTGTTTTATTTTATTTTTATAATATCAAGGTGACGGGAAGAGCAAGCCGTGTGCCTGGTGGTACACACCTGTCCATAACAGTTGCAGTGCCACTCAGAGCTTCAAATCGCAAAGATCTGAGGGACACTGCCACCATCCCTGCAATCCTGAGACATAAGTTGACAAGTCCCATGTGCCTGTAATTTCACCAGCACTCTTACCCTTCAAAACCGGAACGCAGTAATAGTCACATTACTGCTTGGCGGCAGAAATAGGTAAGGGTGGCAGTACTCCCCCGGACAAACTCTTTCACAAGGAACTGTACTGGTACTTTATATTACATATGTCAGTCTATAAGGTGCATGCATTTATTGGTCAATCTAATGTAAATATAAACAATGAAAAATAATATTAGATATAAATGGTGGATGACTTTATCATCTCAGTCAGCCATTACCATGGGACATGTAGAGTGCCTAAAACGTTTATTTGTTTGATTGAACAGTTTTATTTCCAATAAACTACTTTCTCATATCATTATGAAATAGAATTTATATCATATTTAGCATGATCCAAATGATTGGTGTGAAGCACGTTACATATATATGTTTTTATAATATACAGGGCTATTTTTAAAATGCTAATTCTAACCCCGCAGGGATATATTATTACAAACATCATAAACAATACCTTTTGTTCCATGACTTTTAACCAGGTTTTAACAAACAAAAAAATAAATTTACAAAAAATAAACTTTAAAGTTTTTGTTGTACTATCTGACACTTTTTTTTTTCATTTTAGATTTACTGCGAGACAGAGGCGCCACTTGCAGATTACAGTGTATCGCGCGCTCGCTCTGTCGGTGGACCTCGACAGAGTCTGGGTGGGAAACAGTGGTGATTGGACTCTCAGGTTGCACACACGCATAGATATACACGCTACTTAGAAATTGTCCTACGTTTCGCCTAGTGCTTATTTTCATCGTTAAAATTAATAGAAAGTACAAGTTGCTATTCGATTTCAAAGTAATAATAATAACACACACTCAACATAACTTCGCACTAGGGAAACCCTGCGTTGCGGGTGCCATGGACACACACATAGACAACCACAAATTACACCCAAACTCATGTGAGAAATAAATCTAGGCACTTCCGAACCGGGCATCGAACCTGGGACCTCTGCGTGGTAGTCCGGCATGGTAACCGTTCGGCCATGGAGGCAGTAAGTGATTAAAATATACAGTGTTACTATTGAACGCAATCTCATTGCACGAGTCCTAAATCTACCCAAATGATGTCTGAATATTCAGTTCTAAACCCTGACGATTCAGACAATTTTTCAGTTTAGTACGAAGTAAAGTCTCATGAATTATTAAAAGTCACGGAACAAAAGTTGTTGATTATGATGTCCAGCGAGGTTAGTGTTTTACAAATAACCCTGAAATTAATCAGTATCCCAAAAAAAAAAAATTACGTCGGTTTATTATTATGGGTATTAACGATTGATATCAACGTTCGTGTTGTCAATAGAAAGAATTAGATCTTAAAAATTCCCCATGTCAAGGACCAAATCTAAATGGTCAACCTTCACTATAAACTAGACAATAAAATTTAAATGCAATTATGAATTACGTATGACACCTTTTTTAGAGAATTACCTTAGGTTCGAATTATCTTAACACAACTTTCTACGTAGTCTCGTTACACAAATGCCCTTTACATCGTGTACGATCAGAAAAGGGCGGTACCTTAGTGTATAAGACGTACAGGAAAATGTATTGTTATTGTTGTCATTTATGATGATAAAACAAATATTTATTAATAAAATATACGTTATTGGATTTAGAATAATTATGTAAAAGATAAAATATTTACTTGTAGCGGGCCAAAAATCTTAATATATACTGATAAATGAGCTTCAACAATCAAGCGTGAACATACAGAGAGCAGGTGCGAGTCGGGTCGGGACCGCGGCGGGTCTAATTCCGTGTATTTATATGAACGACAACGCACTGAGCGCTGGCGCGTTCGCGTAAATTTTGATATTTAAAATAAAAATATTATATTTTATATCTACGAACAATTATTTGTTAAATATCAAATAATTCTACCGTGTGCCCTCTATTCGCGTCGGTTTGCCGCAGATGAGAGATTAGAGTTAATTAGATGGAAACTAGGCAGATCTAGAATCCCTAACGAGGTCATACGTCAGAGAACTAAAGTGAGAACCGACATAGCTCGCAAAATCGGTAAGCTTAAGGCGATTATCACACTGCACCGCGCCTCGCGACGGAGCGCGGTGCAGTGTGTTAATCGCCTTAGTGGCAGTTGGCCGGGCATGTCTGCAGGAGGGTTGATCGCCGATGGAGCAGATTTGTTCTAGAATGACGACATCAAGGAAAACGAAGTGTGGGACGCCCTGCGGCAAGATGGACGGACGACCTGAGCAAGGTGGCCTGCAGTGGCTGGATGCGGGCGGCACAAGACCGAGAGACTTGGCGTGCTCTAGGGGAGGCTTATGTCCAGCAGTGGATGCGTGTAAGTTGATGATGATGATGAAGAGGTGGGAACTAGGGAAGATGTAGACCTCTACGAACATAATTTCGATCAAATTAAGGATGTCCTTAAAAGGTGCAGGAGAAAAATATGAAGGATGAACAGACATTTATATGTAAGAACATTTGTTAGATGGAGACGAAATAGGTTTATCAGTAGCGTAGCGAATGACGTTCATACGATGGTGAGACAGGCCGTGTGGTATGTAATTTTGAAAGTAAAATTTGTGTAACCGGTTTGCTCACTCTTCTTTGTGAATTATTTTCACGATTGGTGACTTGTGGCAGTGTGTAAATAGAAAATGATTTGTGGAGAATATTGATAATTTGGTTAACAAACAAGTTCTTTATTCATTATAGGTAATTACGAAAAATATTTGGCATGGCAGAATTTATCGTATATCACTTATATATCGGCTTACCTATTTAAAATATGTACCTTTCGCTATGGTGTTTGCTCCGGTCCTAATAGACACTTATGTCTGGCAGTGGAATGTTATACGTCATGTTTAAACCGGTTTTTGGCCCGCTGATTTACATAATATCTTTCAATGAATGTTATTACATACTTGAGTATAATTTATTTAAATCTACTACTTCATTATGGATTACAGTGCATTTATGGCAGTGGGGAGATTAAAAAGGTACTTTATTTATAACTAATACAATTAATTTTAAATATTAAATAATAAAAATATCATGAAAAAGGTTTTTATGGAAGTAATAAAATTTATGCAAGTTATTTTTACGATTTTAAGTTTGAGAATTTAAAATCGAAGCGCACTGTAGCAGGGAGTGCTTTCAACGCAGCGTAACACTACCACGCCGCAGTGCTTTTACGTCATAGCAGTGCGTTTGGACCATTACCGTCAACCAAATTTCATCCTGGTATACATGGGATAATAACCCGTTAACGACAAATCTTTGAGATTTTCGTCAATATCGTCTTTTTTTGACACTATTTTGTTCCGCGCATCTGCTCCGCACGCATATCGACCATATCAAATCTTTTCATAAATTCTTTACCAATCACCACTGATTAATACACATCGAGTATATAACCAGAAATAGAAACGAAATAAGGGCCATCCATCCCTGGCAACTCATCAGGCAAATGGGCCCTATATCACTTTTAAAGATCAACTCTCGTTTGCGCTGAAATTACAAATTAGAAAACTGAAATTGAACTATTTCATCTCCAACAACTGACCCGTGTGTACGTCTCCTTATATTCCAACAATATTCTGTATTTATTGTAACAAAGAGAATATCTCTAACAATGGGGCTGTTCTATGCTGTGGTGTGGGAAAAACAGCAAAATATCTAATACAAAACATACGGAATTACATTTCATCGTAAATTAAATATATAATTTTTCAATTATCGTCCATTTTAGCAAAGCTCAAGTTAAACTGGTAGTTTTGAAGTGAAACAATTGACGACACCCGTCAATTGTTTCGAATTCGGGCTGGCCAATTGGAGCGCAGTAGTCACTGTAATGATTTGGCAAAATAATTTTTAACCAAATTAAATAACTTTTCGTATCTATTTCTGATAATATGCTCGGTGTTAATATACTATAAATATTGCAAGCGGAGCAAAAGCCGCTTAACAAGAACTAGGTATTTTGATTCTCATAGTTATTACATATGTTACCTGTTACCACGTTTACAAATTAACCAACTCGGTGACATTCTGTTGCGGAGGCACCGAACTGGGTCTGAAGTATTGGCACAAGTTGTCGTAAAGAGTGAGTCGTGCTGCGCGCATATTCCAGGCGGGTGACGGAGGGGGACAGTCTGCATCTTCGCCGACGTCCCACGTGTCTACGGGGAGGACCGCTATGTCTTCGAACGGCTGCGTAGGCTCGGGCATATTGTCGTCTGCTCCTAGCACCTAGGGATTGGAAAGTTTGCTCGTTTTTTATCTTGTTACGGTAATAAAATTCGGATGAAATTGTACAATTGTTACCGAAAAATACTGCGTTGTTTGAATCAAAACCAATTTTTTTTTAAATTGATTTGGGACATAAATGATAGCAAAATTTACTTGTTATAAAAAGCTCATTCATATGCAATACATTTATTTTATATATGTATGAAAATAGCATTCAAATATAATAATTATGTACTTTAGTATCTATTGAAATTAATATTGTAGAAGAAATATTTAATGTGGGTTATACCATTTTTGCGTTGATAGCCTCCATTGGACGTAGTTAAACAAAAAGGATCCAATGCACATCCAGTCACTTTCCAGATATGGCAGATTAAGTTGAAAAGTGTTTCTCACTCTTGTTTTATTTTCAAAACTTGTAATGTTGTGTCACTCCAGAGATATTTATTTATGTTTATATGTTGGATTTTTTGAGAGATTCATCGAGTATATAACCAGAAATAGAGACGAAATATGGGCCATATATTCCTGGTAACACATTAGTGATACAGCCTTTATAAATATCAACTCCTGTTTTGAATTCGAATTTGAAATATAGACAGGCCAACTACTGAGACCTGTGTGTACGTCTTCGTATATTCCAAAAAATATTCTGTATTTATTGTAATAAAGATAATATCTCTAACAATATTCAACACAAAATAACAATGCTGTAATATTCGGTGGTGTGGAAAAAACAGCAAAACGTCTAATTACAAAACAAACGGAATCACATTTCATCGGTAATTAAATATTAAATATGTATTTTGCAATTTTCGTCCATTGTAGCATAACTCAAGTTAACTGGTCGATTTGAAGTGAAACAGTTGACGACACCCATAATTGTTTCGAACTCGGGCTAGCCAATCGGAGCACAATTGTCACAGTAATGATATGGCAGAATGGTTTTAAACAAATTAAATGACATTTCGTCTCTATTTCTGGTTATATACTCGATGAAGAGATTAGACTTTAGGAACCGTTTAATACACATAACTAATTTTTTGATAATTTTGTGGATTGGATCCTGTTTGCTTAACTACGTCCAATTATACCTATCTGGGATGCTATATCACAGTAATAAAATACACATTGAAACAAGTTTTGCTTTAAAAAAGAGATAAAGAAGAGGAACCGACGGCGGCCAGCGCCTGCGCCAGGTCGGGCGGCGCGCGCTGCGCGATGCGGCGCGAGTGCAGCGTGCGCGTGCGCCGCGGCGACAGCGCCGCCGCCACGTCCAGCTCGCCCGCGCCGCCGCTGAACAGCACCGTGGCCAGCTTCTGGAACCGCTCCACCTGCAACCCGCACATTGTCTCACGAGATATCCTGCAACCTCTCACGCTATGGTAGCGTGAGATTCCACAAAGTGCGCAAGAATTCTTCGTAATAATGCGCGACCTGTTTTTTGGCTCGTTTCTTATTTGTACGTTGCACAATTAACATAAAGTTTATTACTATACAACCATAGGGTTACAAAAATTCGCTTTCATTTCGTTCTGTGGGCAATGTAAATTGAGCCTTATTATCATACCTCTTATTCAACTAAATTCATTTATTGGCCTAGTTATAAAAAGAAGTTGCATTTGGTAAATCAAAATACTATAAAAATGGATTATTATTACAATTATTAGTACAATTTCATTAAATAAAATGAATCAAAATAAATACATTAAAACATTAAAAAAACATAAAAATTGTCATTTAAACCACTGCAATAACATAAAAACAAAACGCATCAACAATGTAACAAAATAATATAATAAAATTCTTTTTTTTTTTAATTGACGGGACGAACAAATCTTGCACCTGATGGTATGCTACACGCCTGTCCAACAGTTGCAGTGCCACTCAGAGCTTTAAATCGCAAAGGTCTGAGGGGCACTGCCACTACGCCCGTCACCCTGAGACATAAATTGGCAGGTCCCATGTGCCTGTAATTTCACCAGTAGGTACTCTTACCCTTCAAAACCGGCACACAGTAAAGCTGACATTACTGTTTGGCGGCAGAAATAGTTAAAGTGGCAGTACTTCCCTGGACGAACTATTTCAAAAGCTCTACTGCTACTATATTATTTAGTCTTACGTCAAAGATAAATCATTGTCAAAACTTCCAAATACACAATTATTATAAAAATTGGTCTTCTTTCAGAGACAGTTCCAGGAATACCTCTTTCATTACATTGCTTGTTTTCAAAAAATCGCTTCATTTTATTTTTAAACTCAGATGAAGGCAAATTTGTTATTGCTATAGGGGTAATTAATTATATAATTTGATTTCATTGTGCAGGCCGTGTTTTTGTTTTGTTTTGACGCGTCTAGGCTCGACGGTAAGATAAGGATGGTCTCTGCAAAAAAATGCATTTTCGCTTGCAACTGCATCAGAAAAATGCATAGAATTCTAATTAGGTTTAGATGTTGCAATACAAATCCTATATCACTATTTTCCTCGTGAAATTCCCTATCCGAATAGCATACTCTAATTAATAATAAAAACTTGCTTGATGGAGTTCCGATGCGATGAATTTAATTTAATCTACAATACATTGTAGTTTTAGATGTTACATTTTTTTAATAAACTTTAAAGTTCTTATAAACACTTGCCGTAATATTTACAAACCTGCTGTGGGTCACTGTGATCCAATGCCGTCCTAACGTCATTCCTCAAGTACTCAACTGCGGTGAGTTCTTTCCCCGAAGCACAAAGTTCTTTAAAGCAAGCCTCTCTCAGCGCAGCTCTAGCTGTTAAGAATACCCTCTCTATGGATGGCCGCGTCAGTTGTAAAGCCCAGAGGTCGTCCAATCGTAATCGTGGGCTTGTTTGGATACCAGGGTTGCCACCGAATAGATAATGAATCTGTGAATTATAAAGATCGATATTTAATCTTGAAAACAAAAAATCGCGAAAATCTTGGCAAAAACGAGACTGTTTTAACATACATAGAATAATACCCTACAGTAGTATGACAAAAAAACAGATTGAATAAAAGAGGAAAAATAAAACATTTTTTGTCATAACAATGATAGGGCGCAGACTCAGCATATGCCTAAGTTCCCTAAGGCGCTGGTTTTCAGTCAGAAAATCACTGAGATTCGATTCGCAACTCTGCGTAGCGCTAACTTGGGCAAAAACGAGGCTGTTTTAAACGTAGATAGGTAGATAAACACAAATTGTTCACTAGTATGACACAAACACAGATTGAATAAAAGAGGGAAAATAAAACATTAAAGAGTAATTTTCCTTTTGCATCCTCCAGTCAGGTAAGGGTTGTTTTCTTGCAAGTTATTGGCAATGAAAGAAAAAAAAATTAATATTATAACAAACACCTAGAAGTGAAATTATTAATTGAAATAATAAATAGGTTCCCTTTCCTTTTACTTATATAATAATAATAAAACTCGACCAAATTAAAAGCAATGTCAAGTATGAAGCTTCGTTGGCATCGTGCGTCTTTTAATATGGTCGGGTATTACGTATTTGACAGTAATTGTTTCGGACGGAAAGCTAGAGTAGACCCCAAGGTTTACCTTGGGCAGGGCTATAAGTGTGTGCGTTATTATTATTATTATCATGTACTCTGGTACTCATAATACAGGCAGCTCCCTAGTTTGAGTTCAAGTAATTGGTGTGGTTGTGAGGCACATCATTACATTATTACAACAGCCAATAATTGCAACCTTTTTATAAAAAGAAAACCGACCTCGTAAATTCGTGGAATTACATCTATTTGCCAAGTTTTATTGAAATCGGTTACCGGAAAGTGCGCGTAACAGGATTCATCCCTTAGTTTGCCACCTTTAGAGGTGGAATATTTCCTAATATTTTTGCCACCCTCTTTCCAACAAAAAAGGATCATCAAAATCGGTTCACAAATTATCGCGTAACACCTCCTTTTTTAACTCCGTTAAAAAAGTAAAAGGGAACAATAAAAACCTTTTTCACGGGGTCGTAGACGAGCTGGTGCGCAAACCTCGGCCGCGGCTCGTCGGGGGAAACGGTGTCGTTGCGGTACACGCACGTCCACGTCATGCGGGTCAACGAAAACACCCACAGAGTGTTGTACACGCGCTTGTCTTTCTCCTTGCTCATGCCCTGGGAACATTTTATAAGCAATAGTGAATGAGCATTTCTTTTTTTATGATACGTCGTGCGCCTGATGGTCATATGGTATACTGCCGTCCACTAACTAAAACGCGGCTTAATGACAAATGACGTTTCGGGGCCTTTACAGGTCCCATGGTCACGGTTGACTGACCATGGGACCTGTAAAAACCCCGACACGTCGGTTGGTTTGAAAAAATAAATATACGCGATTTAAATCCGGAAAAATAGTTTCATTTCCTATGTGTAACAATCGCGAAAACCTAAGAACTCGTTAATGACAAATGGTCAAATAACCGCTTGAAATAGCAAAAAATGAGCACAAAATTATTTTTTAATAACATTAGTTAACGTGTTCAACTTATCGGAATTTACCCGATAACCACGCATAGCTGAAAAATGACTGAAAAATTATTAAGCAATTTCAATTTTCTAAAACTGGGTTATGGTTTTTTATATCTCAAAAAAAAATGTCATTTAGCCGCGTTTTAAATCGTAAAAGCCTTAAATCGTAAAGATTGAGAAGCACTGCCGCTGCACCCGTCACCCTAAGACTTAAATTGAAAATTCCCATGTGCCTGTAATTTCACCAGCCTTAAAATGCTCACATTACTGGTTAGCGGCAGAATAGGGGAAAATGGAGCACTTCCCTGGACGAACTCTCACAAAGACTACTACTACTACTGCTACTAAAATCTCATTTAATTCCACAACTTGCACCCCTCAATTCTGGACAAGATATCAGCTGTTAATTTTTAATTATTCATCGAAGCGCAATGAGCGAAGCTTTCTTGGCATCCATACAAATTGCACAATCTAGGAACGGAATTACAAGGCCATTCTTCAACCGACATGCATGAAATTTGAAAGTAGCATGAAAAATACAATTCTAGAGGTCGCAAACGGGCAAAACTGTGAAAAAAGAAAAATAAGTAAAAAAAAAGGAAGAATACTGCGCTTCTATAGCGAATTTACATTCCGCATAGTTATTGCCCTTTTAGTATTTCGGCAGTATCGAGTTTTCCACTTAATAATTATAAATATATTTTAAAAATAGTATAAAAAAATATGGCGATCGTCGCCACTGCCCGGTTGTCAATCATTTGATGTGGAAACTCATTCAAAGAACGAAATCATTGCTAAATTATTGAGTAGTAACGTAGGCTAAGAGTTACTAACTCAATTGTGGATGTATTAAGTTGTCTGAATTATAAACAAACAAATTTGAGGAGTTTACAGCTATTTTTATGAAATTTCATTAGCAGTAGAGCTCCTTGTGGAAGAGTACGTCCAGGTAAGTAGTACTGCCTTACCTATTTCTGCCGCCAAGAAATAATGTGAGCATTACTGCGTACCGGTTTGGAAGGGTAAGGGTGCTAGTGAAAATACAGGCACTTGGGACTTGTCAACTTATGTCTCAGAGTGAAGATCTGTGCGATTTAAAGCTCTTTGTGACACTGCTACTATTATGGATAGGCGTGTCGCTTACCACCAGGCGACTTGTACGTCCCGTCACTTGGTATCATAAAAAAAAAAATTACTTCCTCAGATCCTTTTGTTTCTCCATTTACGAACTAAATAAAACTAGCTTCTCCATTTACGAACTAAAAAAAAACAGGGTCACCTTCGGCAGACTACTTCACCGTGACGAAGGAGACGCAGTCGACTCGGTGTAAACAGCGAGTCGACAAGGATTGATAGTACTCATTTGTCATTGGGTCATAAGCCGTTGATACTTACCGATAGCACGAACATCTCGTCGGTGTCTGGGTCCAGAGTGGCCCGCTGCGTGAACCCAGCTACGGGTGGACAGGCCGTGGCGGCTGCGCACAATGCGCCGTAGCGGCCCGTACTCACGTCCCACCACCACAGGTCGAGCAGGTGCTCTTTGTTGCGTTGTCCGGCGAAGATGTATAGGCGTCGCTGGACCTAAGATTCAACCATAACGTCATCATCATTTCAGCCAGAAGACGTCTATTGCTGAACATAGGCATGCTCTGCGCCGCTTGCATCCTGCGGATTTCCGCAGCCTACACCAGATCATTTGTACACCTTGTGGTTGGTTTGCCCACGCTACGTCTTCCGGTACATGGTCGCCACTCGAGAACTCTTCGGCCCCATCGGCCATCTGTTCTGCGAGCAATGTGCACTGCCCACTTAAGTTTTGCAATTCCTTGTGTAATTACTATTTGTTTTTTGACATATTCATTACTGAATTTTGGCTACACTTTACGGACTTTCTCTCGAACGAACCAGATTATTACCTAAAGTGAAAGCTGTCAAATCACGACATTTCTATTGAAATTAAAAAGGTTTCAGTTAATTGATAATTTCCTATATAATTTTTGAAATTCGTCATCAGTTGTACATCGGTACACAATAGGGCCCAAAAATAAAGTGATCCTTTCCTTGAGAAAGCGTGGGAAAGCTTGGGTGGCCTTGCGTTCACAAAACCCCTATTGTGCCAGCAAAATTTCCTTGAGAAACCTTGGGTAATAGGTTGCCAGGCGCTCGAGAATGATTTTTACTGCACTCGCTGCTGAGTACTCACTGGGTGGAAGAGCATGGAATGGGCGACACGCGGCTGCGGCGCGGGCAGCTCGTGTCGGTCGGCGAGCATCAGCTGCCACGAGCCCGTCGCCACGTAGTACGCGTACAGCCCGGAGTACTGTGGCGTCACCACCTCCTCGCTACGCGGTCCATCCGCCCAGAAAGATCATATTTATAGAAGATAATTATAAATATTTTTATAAAAAAAAGCCGACCTCAAAAGTTCATGGAATTACATCTATTTGCCAAGTTTTTTTGCAATCGGTTACCGGAAAGTGCGCGAAACTGGATTCATCCTCTAGTTTGCCAACCTTAGAGGTGGAATATTTCCTTCAAATTTAAATGGGACCAATAATGAGGCGCCCTCTTTCCAACAAAAAAAGAACATCAAAATCGGTTCACAAATACCGGAATAATAGCGTAACATATACAAAAATTACAATCGGATTGAGAAGTTCCTCCTTTTTTGAAGTCAGTCAAAATTTATAAGAAGTAACAATAGATATATATAAATATGTTAACGGAAATCGGTTAATGGGAAATGGGTGAAATCATAGATTTAGTATATCCATAGATTGGCCCTGAAATATTGGAGATGAGACCAAAACAAAAATACATCTGTGTACGTATAATGTGCATGTGTGCAAGATAAATAGTGTTGCGCCATCCACTGATTTAACTTTAATATCGATTAACATATTACACCGGCATTTCACTTCGTCGTATTCACCAAAATGTCTTATCGCAAAACGCCGAGGCGTTAATTCACTAATTAATTAATGATTCAATACAAAATTAAGAAAGCTACTATCACCTTTTTGGCAGTGCCATAGGATGGTAGGTAAACAATGGGGACTTTCACCCAAGATAACACTATGGCTCTACAAAACGGTGATAAGACCCATGATCAGTTACGGCGCGATAGTATTGTGGCCACGAACCAGGCTGACGACCGCAACCGACAAGCTGGACAAATTCCAAAGACTGGCCTGCATGGCGACGATTAGCTGCATGAGGACAGCTCCAACTGCGGCCCTTGAAGCGATGCTGGATCTGCGACCCCTCTCACTGTTCATTAGACAGCAAGCGGCGTCAACAGCAGTGCGCCTAAACAGAGCAGGCCTTTGGAAACACACGAGGACCTCTCATACAGAAATTCCTTATAAGATTGTTAAAGAGGAACCCCTACTGGACTACAGAACCAGAACGTAGCTTTACTCTTTGCTTGCCTCTAAAGGAAAAGCATTTTTCCTCAAAGTGTTTGCTGCATATTTTTGAAAACTTTTTGGGAACCCAATCTTCTCTCTTCAATGTTTTGAGGAAATCTGAATCAACAACAATAATTAACATAAAAAATGGGTGCCTCAACTACGCTATTAAAAGAAATTTTCGTTTTAATGTAGACAAAAAATAATGCACTAATGCAATTTAATTAAATATAAAATACTAAAGCCAGAAATTTCTGATTCAATAATATTAAGTATGAAGATGATTTCGGCTGTATGCAAGCCACGCCTTTGCCTTTCTTTTTTTCAGTTAATGACATCTCGATAACATATTATCGATTGCGTCAATTTCTATGAAAGTGGGGTTATGAATTTCAGAAATTCACGTATTTGATATATTTTTTAATTGTATTTTTTAATAATAACCCAAATGTATACGAATATACATTTGGGTTATTAATCCACTTGAATGGTACAATTTTACGGATATATTTATGTAAAAAACATTTGTGGTAGTGCTTTTAGACAGCTAAAAATTTTAATAGTACTTACATGTGACATGTACAATTCTGCGAGTTTCCTTTTTAGATGAGTTACATCCGGGCACTGAACACGTTACCATGACCAATAAACGTCCGTTTAACACTATTTCACATTTTAAAACCAATTATTTTTCAAAAATAAACGAAATTTGTTTCGTTGTCAGCTGACCCTAGGTTCATACAGGTTCATAGCGTATAATGACGTGGTCTCGTCTATCCACCTCGCTCTAACATACGTGTATACTAACGCTCCTTCACTTGCATTGCCAATCTATGGGTACCTATATACTAAATCTATAGGTGAAATTGTATAAGCCGGATTCATCCCCTAATTTGCTTAATCGGGGACTAGACGTACGACGTGGTTGTGGATATTCCAAATATACGTACGAAGCATTACGCTTCTACATTTATATAGCGGCTGTGGAGTGGAATTCCCTGCCTGCATAGTTATATAAAAACATTTCGAAATTTGCATCATACGAAATATACTAAAATGAACTAATTACGTATTAGCTGGTAAGACGCGTCCTCCGAATACGTAAATCGTCTGCGTGTCTGGGTCGATGCACATCTGGTGGTCAAATACGAGCCGGGGCCCCCCTGCCGCTGCCGTGTCACCGCACACGAGAGTCCACGTACCGGCTTCGATGTCGTACATGTACAAGTCGCTCTGAAACCACACAAGCAATAATATTATAAGTATTATATTTATTGTAAATATTATATGTATATTTAGTAGCAGTAGAGCGCCTTGTGAAAGAGTTCGTCCAACGAAGTACTGCCACCTTACCTATTTCTGCCGCCAAGCAGTAATGTCAGCATTACTGTGTTCCGGTTTTGAATGGTAAGGGTGCTGGTGTAATTACAGGCACATGGGACCTGCCAATTTATGTCTCAGGGTGACAGGCGTAGTGGCAGTGCCCTCAGACCTATACGATTTGAAGCTCTGAGTGGCACTGCAAGTGTTGTGGACAGTAATCTATCACAAAGTCGAACTTTTTTTTTTGCCCGAAATAACGTTTGTTCGAATTTTCATTACACCGAAAACCGAATTATTACGAAACAGTTGTTCTTTCAGGATATGTTGAATGTTTATCGCAAATACATGATTAGGTTCGGTTAGGTTCAGTTAAGCTAGCTTTAAAAGAAAAAAAACATTTTCCTCTCATACTTACTTTCGAGGTTATGAAATTTCGACCAAACGTTATTTCACGAAAATGTCATTTCGGACAACTGATAGGTAACCGCTATGGACAGGCGTGTAGCTTACCATCAGGCACACAACTTGTTCCTCCATTCACTTAATATTATAAAAAATAATAATTAAAGTGTCAATGTACAATCCATGCCCTATGTATGATAGTTGACCTAGGCATGCACGATGCTTTGAATCGATTTTTTGGATCGTAATAGATCATTTGCCTCTGGATCAATCCACAGATCAGATGGTATGCTCTTGAATCGATTTCATAAAAGACTTTTCAAAATTAATTTCGTTAAAATAATTTTTTTGACAACCTTTCTGGCTTCAGTCGGTTACGACTTTCATCTAGAGTGATACTAGTCAGTGGGAAAAACGTTCAGATGGCCAAGAAGTAGCGAAAATCGCCAAATATTGTAGACTTATTTTACTTAGATGTTACCAAAGTGCTTTTCTTGCAGGCCAATATAAAATAGGGGTTCAGAAAGGGATTGATTTGTTTAAATTATGAATACACTCTAAACGATTTGATTCGCCTTAACGTTGAATCGATTTACTTGAAAATCGCATTGAAATGAATCGATTAAAAAAATCGCTAGATCATATACACTTGAATTAATGTTCATAAAAAAAAGATTCATGTGCATCCCTAAGATGACGCCCTAACCGATCATTTGTTTCTGGGTAGATAAGCGTGAAGAAAAGTGTAAGCTTGGCGCCATTTGCACACGAGTTTTTATTGTGTCGCCTCCATCTCTTGAGGTCACGGGTTCGACCCCCGGCCGGGTTATTATAGTAAAACTGGTAATGGTCATTGTAGTAAATTATCTCGGGCCTGGGTGTTTGTGGTATTTTGGTTGTTTCCGATTTCCATAACACAAATGCTTTAGTTACTTGCTTTGGGATCGGAGCAACTAATGTAGTCTAATATTTGTTTATATCTAAGAGAGAGATTATTTACATTTTATAAGGCACACTCACGGTCATGTTAGCTGGCACTCGTTGTGCATTATCTAAATATCGTCCGAGTGTGTACAGTCGGCGCCGCAGCGGGTCTAACACCATCTTGTGGCAGGAGCGTGGTGATGGCCCGCCCACATGATTACTGTGCCAGCAAAGGAGGGACCAACGTTCCGTCACTGTATTGAATGACCACAGATCGTCGAGGTCTTCAGTGCCGTTCCAACCCCCAAAGAGGTATAGTGTACCTGTAATAAATATGTTTTTTGAAACACAATTTGAAAGGGTGCACCAATTTTAGCTAAAAGATATTAGAAATAAACTTCCTTTACAGATATTCTTTAGGTGCATTTGCCTTTTCAGCTTTTAAATTTCTATCCTAAGGGTGCCTGAAAGAAATTGCTACTTAGCAACAAGGCCGTCCGTTGTACATTAGCTTTCTCTGTGATACTTACATTACTATTTTAATTAATAGCCTCCATAGCCGAACGGTCACCTTACGGACTGCCACGTAGAAGTTCTGGGTTCGATTCCCGGGCCGGGAGAAATACTTATATGGCTTATACTTATTTCTCTCGTGAGTTTGGATGTAATTTGTAGTTGTCTATGTGGTGTGTCCATGGCACCAGGGATACAGGGTTTCCCTAGTGCGGGGTTATGAGTGTGTATGCTATTATTGTTATTATTGTCTGGCGTCTAGCACGGTTTGCTGGGAGACGTTGGTTCGAATCCAACCGGAACGAAGTGATTTTTTTCCAAGTGTTCGATCTTTGTATTAATAATTCTAACAAACTAGTGGAGTAATTTCACAAAAAAATAATTGAATATCATGGTGGTGATAAATACTGACACCCATAAAAATTTCATTAAATAGAACAAGTTTTATAACATAGGTAGTAAATCCAGTGTACATAAAGAACTCCTCGCAGATGTTTGTCCCTATAGTACCTGAGATGTGTGAGGTATGGCTGTACCTGTGGTGGCATCGACGACGAGCTGGTGTCCGCCGCGAGGGCCAGGCTTGGAGCAGCAGCTGCTGGACGCACTCGGGTTCGCGGTCGTCACGTGACACGGCTCCGACACCTCCACCACTCCATTCGCGTTCGGCGGCAGCTCCTGGTAAATAATAGCTTCAATTTCGATTAAGTCATTATTTTAAATGACAATAACTCGAAAATCTAGCAAATGCAGGTCTCCTTAGTACATTTTTCATCACTCTGACACGTAAATAGTGATTGTATTCATGTTACCTTGACTATAATGCCCCAAATAAAACCCTCGGGCTCTGTTTCTTCTCATTACAGCCATGGTCGGTAATGAGAAGAAAAAAACCCCCGAGGGTTTTGTTTGGGGCATGGAATCATACTATTTACGTGCAACATTGAAAAATATAGTATGTTTTGCATGCGGCACGGGAATTACGAATCGATTCCGAAAGCCTTCGACTTCGGGCGTCTAATATAGTCTCGTTCATAAGTTCTTATTTACCGCCCTTAATACACAATGTACTGTGATGATGCAACCTCTTTCACATAATACCCATGAATAGGAAGGGAAAAGAACAGGTAAAGTAAAAGCATAACCGTCCAAAATGGCTTGTATTTTCCAGAAATATTATGCTTTACAAGCAGTTCGGTTAGATGATTTTCAATGTTATAACTGGTCAAAATTTTATGTGAAGTCGAGCATGTGTGCTCGCTTCGGAAATTTAGTAAAATGTGGCGACGCGACGGAAAGAAGAAAAGTAAGAGTGACGAAGAAAGGGAATTTAAGAACGATTAAAAATTTCAAAGTAGAAGGGCAGGAACTAGACAAAAGGGTGATAAAAAGGTGGGATGACGATGAAAGAGGTCGTACCGGCATACTATTATTAACACGTCATCAATCAAGCCAAACATTATACGTCCTACTCTGCCCTCCTTATTATAACTACTTAATCCAGTTTTTGGCGAAATTGATTTAATAACATATACCCCGATTCTTCGATATTTTAATCAAACGATTCGATAGGATATCATTCGCGTATCGTAGGGCGTTTTCCGATCTATTTATAACATTCCTAGTTAAACGTTGGATTTGGATTCGGATACGATATCGTTATCCAACAGCGTTTATGGCGTTAATCGGTGAAATAGATTATATGATAAAATGAAATACCTTTTAAATACATTTGTAAGACTTTAAAGGCCTAAAGTATAGGAATGCATTAAAGTAAATTAATAAAATTTAACAAAATCCAGACTTTATTTAAAATAATAATAAGAATAATAATACATTCTTGCTTTGTAAACAATAGGACGTTCGGTAACTTTTATTCGATAACTGTGTTCTGAATAAAGTTTGTAGCCTTTGCCGATCGAGACATTCGTGTAATCGTACGGGTGTGACGTCATTCCGGATCGGTTTCGAACACAGCAGTCTGACGTTCGATTCGGGTGTTGTGAATAAAAATGAAAAGAAATCGGTCGACAACTCAGTTATCGTAACGTTCAGAATCGACCCCCTGGAATCAGCGAAACAAGATCTACAACCTCCTTTAAGTGGTTATTTCGTTTAAATTTTATTGTTGATCAAAATCAACGTAATTTATATTTTTCAAATAAAAAAACACTTTAGGTGCCAATATCTCGAAATGCAAAAGCGTTAGTTATAACAAGGAGGGCAGTACTGATGAGCACGGGTTTCCTCTAAGGAGGGTTTACGCCGTAATCCGTCACTCAACTCAATGGGGGTTGGGATCTTCACACGTTTTCCAAGGGTTCTTTGACGTACAGGTTTCATAATGATGTTTTCAGTGATAACTCTTTTATATTCATTATTTCAATGTATTAGTTTGTTTTAAAATACGACGTCTCTGATATTTTAACTATCTGAAAACACAGTTTTACTGAAATTATAGGAGTTTAACATGCTTTGGATTAACTTGGCCTAAGGTTTACTCAATACTCAATATATTTATTGCATTCATATGGTACATACATGTCTTAATATTACAATAATGCTACACATATGAGCCCTTTATTAGGGATAACAATAAGAGCAGAGGTAGGCCAATGTTTCAATTATTTATTAGAGTTCTTATTTATCAAATAATGATATTAAAAAAATGTCATGTAATAAGAAATAAATACGTCATATTATAAGCAGAATTATGTCACTTGAAAGTTTGAATTTAATTAGATTACAATAGCATAACTTTACTAAGTTATGCTATTGTAATCTAATAATATAAATATATAAAGTAATAGTTTACCAAGTTTAAAAAGTAAAACTTAGCAAAATTTTACTATATAATTAAGATTTATTTATTATTCAAATTTATTATATTATTATTTTTACTTGTCATCACATTATTCATTGAAATTGTAATAGCATTTATTAATAAGATGTAATTTTAATTTATTTACAAACAGTGAATGCTTTTCCTCGTTTTTAATTTTTAAATTTTAAATTAATTTTTATTTAATTTTTAAGTTTTAAATTTACAGCTTATAGTTTGTTTTAAAAACAGAGTTTGGTCGGTAACAATGAGGCCTTCAGTTAGTGTCGATAGCTTTCATAACAGCGTACACTAACCTCGGGCCTGTCGGCGTCTGCGCAGCAAGTGTCCCTGATACGCGGCGTCTGTAGATCACCGCAACACAGTTCTGCCTCCACGCCAGACGAACACGCTGACATCTGCCGCCATACAGGCTTGTATGGTTGCCAAGACATGTACCAATCGAATTCGCCTTCTGCACAAACAAATCATTAGTAATGGAAAATTAATATTAATAATGAAATTGAGAAATGGAGACAATATTGCATGCATTAGGTTAAGTATAGATGACAAAAAATGTACGCGCGTAATTTAAAAAAATATGGCGCGTCCTGATATTCATACATTTTACATACAGCCGTTTACATGTAGGCGCGGGACCGCCGCGTTCAGGAGAAATACTTTAAAACGCGAATCACTGTTGCCAACGCGCGTCACCACGGGTTTAGAATTATAGGCACTGACAGTGTGCCTGTTCAGATGACGTTGACTACAAGTACTTGCGCGCGTTTCCTTTTGTCATCTGAACGTTGTCGCGAGTTGACACGCGGCATGTGTGCATCCATCTGAACCTAGCCTCGTTGTGATTGTGATGTGATGTCATTATTACACCTGTCCATAACAGTTACGTAAAGATCTGAGGGGCACTACCACTGCGCCCGTCGCCCTGAGACGTAAGTTGACATGTGCCATGTGCCTGTAATTTCACTAGCACCCTTCAAAACCAGAACACAGTAATACTGACATTACTGCTTGGCGGCAGTACTTCCCTGGACGAACTCTTTCACAAGGAGCTCTACTGCTACTAAAAATCTTCTACAAGGAGAGGGTTTAAGCGAAGTAGTATGTAGAAAGTATAACAAGAGAAGTAGTGTATAAAATGAACTGCATGACAAAAATATTCAACACAAGACAATACAAATATTCTTTATTACAAAAAAAAATAAATAAAACAATTTCAATTTTATTGTGTAAGCAATACACAGCAGAGTTGCTCGAAGATGATGAACATATCTTTAAAAGCAATACTTAATTTGGTTCTTTAACTTCCAAGTAAAGAGGTCGAGCGGCTCAGGCGAATCAGAGCAAGTCCGTTTCGGCAGCCACTTATGACGAAAAAAACGCTTAAAAAAACGCGAAAATAAACTGATTAAGGAAATCAGAAAATGGTTAATGACTCCTAAAGACCCCCGCATACCAATTTTCAGCCGGATTGAAACAAGTTTTTCTTCGGCTGCCATTTTGAATTCGCCATCTGTTTTTTTTAACCCAGGGAGTTGACCACTATTAATCTCTATGACAATCCTTCGAGCACCTCCTACCTATCTCTAATAGTTTTCGTGATAGGAGACTTTGAAATTTGTATGACGGCCATCTTATTTATTTGAATTTCGAACACTTTTTACTTCCGGTGGAAATTGACCACGGTGTATCTCATAAAAGTGCACAAATATTCCCTCCATATATTATAGTTTTTGCAGGCCGTTGATCACTCTTTCATATTTTCCACATTTAGGTCTTCTCATATTTTTTTATTCTTTGCTTTGGAATCTATCCGCGTACAACGGTATAATATTTTTTTTCCACCATATCGGGAAGTATGCGTTATATTTCTATCGGTAAGAACTTGTAGCTTTATTTAAATAATAATATCTAATTGGAGCAACAAAAACTGTTGCGACAATTGACATTTAGAATGTAGTTTTATTGTAGTTTAATCAAAATTTTACAATGAGCAATTTACATTTTAGTAGTTTCTTTTTCGAAGGTAACAGAGCCGAATTGCGGCCACAGATAAAACGTGCGTGTGATAATATTCTATATGGCACATTTAAAAGGTCTTATAATAAATACGGTATATGACCCAGTCAGGGTGTTGCATATAGGCTTAAAAAACGAAAAGTTATATATTAATGTACCTGGTACTTGGTGTAACGGGCTGGTGTCCGCAATTCGACGTCAAGGCGCCTATTTATATATTAATATATCGAGTACTTAGTTTTCGCAATTATTAATAGAAATGAACGTTTCTGACTGAGATGGTAAAGTCATCAACCAGTTATGTGTAATATGAAATAAATAGAGTGATTTCCATTAATTTACATCATTTATTTGTGAAGATATGTAATTGGCTCTCAGTTGTTGTTACTATTATTTATTTATTTTCATTTACTTATCTAAACACAATCCCACAAAACTATATAATTAATGAAATGGACGTGAGCTTTCCGTGAGATACGACATTAATTTGCATGGTATAAATTCAGATACTTGATGAACTTACCTTGCATAGCCTCTTCAAGAATCTCCTCAGCGAGTTTATAGTCGCCATTCTCAACTAACGCGTTCCATAATCTAGCCTGCAAGGGGCCCTCAAGTTGCACTCCGCTTTCGCGCGACAGCGCTTCGAAAGCGTCCTTGTACCGGCGCCGCCGTAAATGTTTAAGGAGTATACGTACTGCTTCTTCTTCTTTACGCTGTAAATAAAGTTGAATTTTCATTCAGTGTCTTACCAAAAAAAGTTCGCTCTGGTGTTTGCTTTGCGTTTTTGTATCTGGTTAAAAAATTGTTTAGTAACAGTAGAGCTCCTTATGAAAGAGTTCGTCCAGGGAAGTACTGCCTGGCCTATTTCCGCCGCCAAGCAGTAATGTGATCATTACTGCGTTCCGGTTTTGATAGGTAACGGTGCTTGTGAAATTGGAGGCACATGGGATTTGTCAACTTAAGTATCAGGGTGACGAGTACAGTGTCAGTGCCCCTCAGATCTTTGCGATTTAAAGCGCTGACTGGTATTGTAACTGTTATGGACAGGCGTGTAGCTTACCATCAGACGCACGACTTGTTGTTCGCCCCGTTATGATAAAAAAAATTGAGGGATAAAAAGACACCTTCCCTGTATTAGATTTCATCATAAATTGGATTTGTTGTTTCATGATATTAAGTGATGGGATGAACAAGTTGAGGTGGTAAACGACACACCTACCTTAAACATTTGCAGGAGTTTACTAAAACATGGATAATTAAAATATAGAATAATTTTGTAAATTATCAAGGTCATAATATTATAATTTAATATTCAAATGACAAGGGTTATAATTGTCACTAATATAAACAATCTTAGTTAATTTTTTTTTGTCATTTCCTTTCTAGACTCTGACGAAGCAGATTCTCATGGTAAATAGGCTAAACCAGCTTTATATTATTTTCAACAGTCACAAGGAGACAGATAAAATTTTTTATTCCAACATTCCATTTTTTGTCTCAACAAGTGTATATGGGAGTAGCTCAATCAACGTTGCACTGACCTCAGCAGATACTTGTGGTTAATAATTCTTTCCCTGTATGCAATTATCTATCATGTTTTTTAATTTTTCCTCAATGACCCACCATTTCCATGTATTTATGAAATTCTTCATTTTTATAAACCATGGTGCTTTAGCTGCTGTTTTTGGTACTGTTCTAAAATCACTGATTTTGCAAATGAGAGCCTCTAAAGTGATGTAACTTTGATATTTATACAGGGTGTCCCAAAAATACCACGTCAGAGCGTCACTGTGGGTAGGTGAGCTCTATACCTACCAGGAAAAACTAATTTGACCTTAGTAACAGTCTTTGGGTTTTCGAGATATTGGCACTTTTTCATTTTTTTGAAAAATCTTTACTTTTTGTTGGGTTTTAAGCTATTATTGCCATGGTTAGCTCCAGATGATTGTTATTTTTATTTGTCGGGTATTCTGAATAGTTTTTCCAGGTACTGCAACTAATATTTTAATGAGAAAATAAAATGTGTTTCTTAAATATTGTTATTTACTTTGTGGTACAATAAAGTGTTTAAATAAATAGATAAAATGTGAAAAAAGTTATTAATTTGGTATACCTCATACCCTTTTAAAAAGTGAAACATTAACTTTGAATAGCTAGTGTGAAAATAAATTCCGATCGTTCGCACGCAAAAACGCACACCCACACACGCACACATGCACGCACGGACGCACTTTGCTTTGCATTACAATTACTTAATCTGTTATTGTCCACCTGTTAAATCCTGTTTATACATTTAGAATCATTGAGCCAATTTGTAAAAGCAGTTTGCTGCAGATGTTTTGTTTATTTATTACATCAATGGTATTTGAGCTGTTAATTTACCAAATATTAAACACATAAATGTCCTATAAAAAAAAAATACATTAAGAGATAGTGGTATACTTATCAAACTACTTACCAAATTAATAGTATCCAATGCATTGCTTATCAAATCCATTTGGTTTTTGCCCTGCAGCTCTATGTACCAGATAGTATAGTTGTATGCAGGTCCCCACGACTGCAGCGGCACTATTTTTATGTACTGTATGGGAAGGTACAGGCCTTCTAGAGTTCGATGTCGCAGACGAAATGGGTCTGCTTGATTGTCTTTCTTTAGACCACTGAAAATGCATATTACGCTAATGTTGTATGATTACATTTAAAAAGAGTACCAGTATACTCTTGTATACTTAAAGTGACAAACATGTACAAAAGCATTGATGCACATTCTTGCAAATATATCATGCCAGGATCATAGCAAGTGGGAGGCTGTGGTCTTTGCCTCCCCAGTGGTAAAAGGGCTACAGCTTCGTATATGTTTGTAAAATATATGACAATAATAATGTGATCTCTCTCAGTGAACAAGGAGTATAAAAGAAATACATAAGACTAATCCGACAGATATACAAAAAGTACTACAGGAGACGAATTCCAAATCAGAAAGGGTGTCTGTCAGGGGGATCCTCTATCCCCCAAAATATTCACTGCTGTCTTGGAAAGTATATTTAGACATCTGGCTTGGGAGGAATATGGCTTGAGTATAGATGGAGTACACCTTAACCACTTGAGATTCACAGATGATCTTATACTCTTGGCCAAAAACTCAAAAATGCTACAAACTATGCTTCAAGAATTGGACATGGAAAGCAAAACAGTAGGACCCACTATGAACACCAGCAAAACGAAATTGATGACAAACAATAACAGGTTGTGATAACTGGAAATATAATTGAATATGTGGACGAATACGAATACTTAGGCCAAATAATATAACAAAGGACCAAACAGACAAAGAAATTGAAAGAAGAGTCACAAATTCGTGGAGGAAATTTGGTCACACAAAGAAGCTCTGAAATCAAAAGAAATCAATACACAGTACAAATTTAAGGTAACAAATATGTGCATTGTACCGGTGACCACATATGGATGCCAGACATGGTCACTTACTAAAAAATATTACAAAAAACTTTATGTTTGTCAGAATAGTACGGAAAGTGTGCTCAACATAAAATTTAAAGATAAAGTAAAACTGACCACAATTAAAAGCAAATCAAAGACTAAAAAAGTTACACACATAATAAAACAGCAAAAATGGCGTTGGACAGGACACATGATGAGAGAAAAAAATTGATAAATGGACAAGGGATATTGTGGAATGGTACCTAAGAGAGGGAAAAAGGAAGAAAGGGAGACCATACTTTAGGTGGGAAGACATTATGAAAAGTTTTTAGAAGACTGTGTAATGTGACTGTATGCCGAAAACTATCTAACAAATAGACAACATAAAATGTGAATAATAGAAAATAATATCAAGTATTTAATTTCCAAACAAAATTCAATTTGTAATTTCTTTATTTTAATTTTGTAAGTAAACTTAATTAATTTCGAAGTTTGTCATTTAGATGACTTCAGAATAAATGGTAAAATGTGCAGGTAGTTAACTACATAAATGTATGTACATATGTACATCAGGGGTACATTAAATACACTTTTTTATAACTTTTACTAAGCAAATATAAGTAATACTTACGCCGATAGTAACAATGATAGGTTATTTTCATCCATTCCTCCAAATATTTGGAATTTCTTCAGGTCACTTACATGAGCTTTTTTATACTTTCCGAATTTTATTGTTTCCACGATCGCTGGAGATTTTAGTTTGAGCATTATGTATTGGGAAGGCGTATTACTGTCTGTGAACCATCTGGATAATTGATCAGATGGTTCATCTACCATTATGTTCCTGAAAATTGAAGTGAATATTTATTCGTTTTCAGGTAAATTATTATGCTATTTTCAAGTGCAAGGAAAAAGAAAACTGGTGGTTTTTGGTAAGTATTTTGCAAAGAGAACATATCACATCTCAGAATAAACGTTCTTAAAATAAATAAAGCTAATTTGCAAGGAGAACTGTGCGCCCGGAATATTTACGCGCAACAATGAAATATAACTTACTCTGGCATGTAATTCGCAGAGTAACTTGAATATTTGTGAATTGTGTAAGTCAGCTTTACAGTTTCAGGTTTTTCTTCCATTTTTTGTGTTATTTTGTCGATTATTAATGGAATTTTTCAATATTTATTTTATTCAACTGATTGACCGACTGTCAATGTCAGCACGGAACGGAAGTATCTGTTCAGAAACATGTTATTAAATTCTCCATGACGGAAACAAAGTTTTTAGATATTATGAACGTTTTTGTAATGGCTTTGCCTTCACATTTAGCCAATTAAAGGGTCTATAGTCGTCACAAAATAATAGATCATATTTGACACATGTCATCGCAACGTAAATAGTGATGTGAACTGCAATATCGGTAACCAGTTTAAACGATTCTCACGAGAAATCGATTAAAAATTTTAGGAGTTTGTAATCGTTTAGGTTATTTTTCTGTTCATTGCTTTTCAGTTCTAGATATATCAATCAACATTTATTTAAACGTTATACAGTTTAATAGAAATAATAAGTAAGTATTTTAAGTGAGCACAACGGCAACCTGTACTTGTTGTTGTATTGTAGTTATACATTAGCATAGTTCACGAGGATAACCTGTACGTAAATAACAAAATTCTGAAGTAAAACAAAAGACCTCCTTATTGGAATTTTTTATTTATCAACGTCATCGGAAGATGAACCAAAACCATCTGTTGAGCTAGTTTCACCAGTCCATATAATTAACTCGTTTTCAATTAAATTATCAATATTAACATCTCTGTCAAAATCTTCTTTTATTAGTTTTCTAGTTTTTTCCACCACCTTTCTCCAGTCTTCCTTTGTTACTTTAGTACATGCTTCCTTTAATAAAGTCATCATTTTTTTTGTGGAGAACGGTGGCTTAGTATTATTACGTCCTGCGTAGCCTGTAAAAAAAAAACACTGTTGTAAAATAGTAATGTTCCTTCACAGTGATATTACAAATTCGAAAGTTTATATGTTACCTCTTTACATTTGTACTTTATTAAAATATGCTACTAGTACAAAATAAGTCTTAATATATACGAATTTAAAATAACAGTATTAAATGCAAAAATATTAACCTTTAATTTGAGCCCAAATCAACTCAATAGCATTGTATTGACAGTGGTACGGCGGTGTCCTTATAATTTTATGTCCATGCTCAAGTGCCAATTCATCAATTTCATACCTAAGTTTTGTAGGTCTATGCTCTCGCACTAATCTTAACAATTCCACTTTCAATAGCTCCATGTCAGCTTCGACACCATTCCTCTGTAGCCATGCCACCAAATCAGCCTTTTTATTTGCCTGAGTCGGCGCTCGATCTATTTGAACCGAATGATACGATGCATTGTCCATAATTATTGTACATTGTTCGGGGAGGTTCTGAAGTAAAGTTTTAAACCACTCTTTAAATTTGTTTGCGTCCATTTCTTCGTGATATTCTTTTGTACTTTTTGATTCAAATGCTAGTAAAGCATTATTAACGAAACCTCCCCCGGCTGATCCAGCATGGCAAATTATGAGGCGACCACCTTTTCCCATTGGCACTTTCGAGCTGGATGCTTTAGTGTCGTCGGTCCATGATTGTGGTACTGTGTGGTTTGAGTTCAACCAAGTCTCATCGATAAACACAACATTATCCCAATTTGTAATTTTATTCATTTCTCTCAAAAATGAAACTCTTTGTAATATTAAATCATGTCTTTCCATCATAATATTTCTTTTGTCAGACTTCTTGTATTTAAAACCAATTTTTTTCAAAATTGTAATCAGTGAGGTAGCACTCCCAGTAAATAAGCCAAGCTCTCGAAGTGATACCAACAATTTACTCACAGTAGGGTACTCGTGTCTAGTATAATATGTATAAACATGGTTACGAATAGCGTCTGCATCGAACGTGTCGATACCTGTTACAGGCTTGCTTTTCTTCCTCTTTCTAGGCGTATGTAATACGTTTTCTTGAGAGCCGGAAGGCCCATATTTTTCTTGTATGATGGTGTGTACCGTTCTTTTGCCGATTCCAAGTGCACTTGCGACGCGATTTTGCACTTGTGTCACTGGTAATAGAGGTCCACCATTAAGTGACTCCCTTTCGAAATAGTCGTGTAATTTCACAACCAGTTCGCGAGTCTGGCTATTTAAAGCACGTCCTCTTTTCGACATGTTGAAAAAGAGTTCACACAGAATCAAGTCCAAAATATCCAAGCCAAGGTCAACGAGATTGAAAATAGAAGTAGTCCAAAAGCACAGCCGAGTCACAAGAAAAAACACCACGAATAACCAAGCGTACAGTCAACTTCCAAGACGGCGAAAGACTGCGCGGGCGCCGATGCAGAGTGACGCTAAATCGACATCAGTGTTGCCGTTTCAGAATTTGCGATAAAGAAAAGGAAATACAAATCTGACTTTACGGTTCTGTCTACTATAAATACTAGTATACTCAGTCTAATTTTGTAAGCACTTTAAAATTTTTGTTTTTGTAATTAAATAAGTCATTTTTTTAAGTGAAACCGATTTGACTCGATGATAGTCGGCGCGTATTGGTTACAACATTATTATTAAAAAGAATTATTTCTTTGTAGACTGAAGATGTAACTGTTTATAAGACGTTTCGGAGTAACCCAAAATTGGATTTTATTTTGGAATTCCTGCGAAAATAATACTTGAAATATGTTTCTTTCATAATGTATAGACCTTCAATAAAATTTATGTATTTTTTTAAAACCCAATAAGTTATTAATTGCTTATTTACTGTTTCGTTGATTGCATTCAACGTTACATACTATCGACTGGTTTAGCTGTCAAATATGATCTATTATTTTGTGACGACTTTAGTAATTAAATAAGTCATTTTTTTTAAAGTGAAACCGATTTGACTCGATGATAGTCGGCGCTTATTGGTTACAACACTATTATTAAAAAGAATTAGACTGAAGATGTAACTGTTTATAAGACGTTTCGGAGTAACTCAAAATTGGATTTTATTTTGGAATTCCTGCGAAAATAATACTTGAAATATGTTTCTTTCATAACGTATAGACCTTCAATAAAATTTATGTATTTTTTTAAAACCCAATAAGTTATTAATTGCTTATTTACTGTTTCGTTGATTGCATTCAAAGTTACATACTATCGACTGGTTTAGCTGTCAAATATGATCTATTATTTTGTGACGACTATAATGCGCTATCGGTCTAACTTTAGTGCTTGTTATACCCAGATGAGTCTAATGTGATCATAGATAATGGTCTAATGAATTTCACGGAATAGCCAATAAGAAGCAAAAGAACATGTTAGCACACTAAAAATAAAGTATGTAATCTATGTAATACATATAAAAGATTGTATTGCCGTTATAAAAAATATCTGTTCATTTGTTGAATCGATTAAACAAATCGATACAGAAATAAAAAATTCATTATAGAAAGCGTTTATTTCGCAAAAATACTTTTTTAAATATTGGATCTCAAAATGGTAATACTAATTTTTGGAAAGTCAATTTGACATTTATTGGACGTTCGAAAAGTGTATTAAATTATGATTTGAAATATTACTTACCGTTTTCATGAAATTGAATAAAATTAAGAAAAGATAGAAAATGTTGTACGTAGAAAGTAGATATAGAATGAAAAGCAATCTTTCAGTGCTTTCAGATTTGCTTCACAAAACAGAAAAATAAGTCTGTAATATAAAGACTACAGACATTTTCTTTTATGTTTACAGAAACTAAATCCTTCGAACGCACAATCAATGCCATTTTTTCGCTTATCAAAATATTTGCAGCAGTGGATGTGATTTAATAAATTGCGTTCAATGTAGTGGCGATTTGAAATAAATTCCTCGTTACCATGGAGGACGAAATAGAGGAATGTATTAGGAAAAAGATTCAGTGGGCGCAGTTGCCGGGGACTGTGAAAAAAGTGAGCAAATATTGTAACTTTTCCATTTGTGTACCCTATAGTCTAACGAAAAGAATTTACTGTTCGCAGACACACATTGTTGAATGCTATGTTGTTGATTGCTTCTTGTTGTTTCCTTCAATGTTACGTATATTAAATACCAATTTGTGTTGAATTGTATGTTATAAATTGAGCATCTCTAATTTTACAGCAGTTCGTATTTATATGGCTATAAAATATAAAAATTTCGTGTGTTTAATCTATCTGTATAATTTCAGTTGCTTGGGGACTCCCATAAAGAGTATGAGAAATACATATTTGAATTTAGCATCAAAAACCAGCTGAGGTATAGGGGAAGTTTGGGTAAGTAATTTTACAGTTTCTTTTCATTTTTTCGCACACACTAATAGCTCCGCACTAGGAAAACCCTGTATCACGGGTGCTATGGATACACACAGGCAACCACTAATTACGCCCAAAATCGCGAGAAAAATAATTGTGGGCCATACAAATATTTCTCCCGGCCTGGGAATTTAACTCAGGACCTCTACATGTAGGAAAAATGTGGCATGTCATGCAAGGAGGCACCTCTCGTGCACTCCCAATATTGTTAACTATATTTTGTTCAATGACTTTTTACCACAGGTATTCAATTTTGACACAGTTATGGAAGTGTCATTGAAAAGTACATTTTTGTTGTAGGTATACACTTTTTGTACACCTGGAAATTCTGTTAAATCTAACACAAAAGTACTAAAAAATTAGACTTAGAGGTCAATGGAATAAATGACTCTAAAAGTTTCTTCCGTTTTATTCCTGATATTACCAATGAACATATTGTATATTATTCTGAAGAAAAATATTTACAAATTTCTTGTTTTTTAAACGTCATATTCCTGATGGCTAGAGTTAGATTCCCAGTTGGACTGTTTTGGGAAATAAACTTTTCTAAATTGCTTCTAATTTGGGTGTTCTCGGTAGTGCTCCAGATTGCTTTGGTACTCATAGTACACAGGAAATTCCCGGATAATTGTTGCGGTTATTTTTAATTTATATCATGCTTTGGAGTCAAGTACTACAGTCGAAATGTTAGGGATAATAAACATTATTAATACAATAATTAATTACAAATACAGGGTCAAGAGCCTGTCAAGCTTGACACTAAAGGTTTAAATTCAACTCTATGCCACTTGCGATAACAACGGTCCAAAGTCTGAAGTGTCAGCTTGATGTGCTCCCGACTGTACATTAATATTCACTAAAATGTTTAGTTTTGTCTGTTTGTGTTGAAAGGGTCAATATTTTCTGAGTGTTAATCAAATAATAATGATTGAAATTAATGTCTTGAACTAAAATTTAAATTGACCTTGAATCAGCCAATAACTGTACAACTAGAAAATTAGCATATAAAGTATAGTAGTATGGTTTACATATGTGGCACTTTACTTTGCATAAATATTTAAATTCCAAATGAACCAATTTGTAGTGTATACAAAGTGTATATTATCATTTGATATGATTGTTCAAGTACGAACTTTAAACTACCTTTAGAACCAGTATATAGAATACCATAATAGAATAACAATAACATAAAAGAATTATCATTCTTTCATACAGGTTAAAACAAAAAGGTTTTGACTTTCAAGATATTGCAGTATCAAACTAATTTGGAATTCAGAAACCTGTTTTATTTTGTTTACAAAACTGGATCTAATTCTAAAATAAGGTGAAAGCATTTGATGAACATTATGATATGCATAGAATGTACCCTACATGATGTGAACACTATAATCAAATTTCATTAACAAAAAGTGCATAAATGTCAGTAATAAGAAATTTGCATCTAATACTTTGAGAGGACATAATATGTATAACAAAACCTACTGTAAAGACAGCACATAAGACACTTTTTATTTGAGTTCCTAGCTGAGGCCACAGAATCAGAGAATATGTCAAAATCATAAATCTGATAGCATTGTAAAAAAGCACATCAGATATGGTGCACAGTGTTGACCACGGTTAGTTTTACAAGTAGGAAGTGAAAAAGTTTAACGATTGTGTAGGCGGGTACCGTGGCGAGAGACAGATAGGCACAGACATTCGAGGACGTCAGGTGCGTCTATAAAACCATGAGTAACTTTGTATAAAAACGAGGTTTTGTAAAAAATACGAGGAATAAAAATGAACTAGCTTTTCTTGATAGTCGTCTTCACAAAGTCAAACAATCATTTAAAGGGCAATGTATACGCTTCTATAACAAGATTCCGGTTGATATACAAAATTTGCCTTTCATGAGGTTTAAAACTATAGTGAAACAAAAACTTTATACTAAAGGTTATTATACAACTTCTGCGTACTTGGATGACAAAAATCCGTGGTAGTAACCCGTTTAGCTCATGGAGGTAGTCTCAATCTGATGTTTCAAATAAAAAAATATTGTAAATGTTATTTACAAAGAGCAACCCCTAGAGTTTCTTGCTCATTCTTCTCAGGGGAATCTGCCTTACGAATGAGCGGTAGAGTTTAACCATTGTGACGATTTCAAGTGTAATAATGCTTACCTATGAAATAAAGATTATTTTGAATTTGAATTTGAATTTGAAAACATGAGATCAAGTGGTTTTCGGCGCTTTTGCAGTGAGGATATTTTAAAGTAAGAAAGTCAGTACTCATGTAAAATAATATTCGTTGTTGCCAACAGGCTGAATTGCCCCTACCAACAATATCGGGTGCAACTACACATGCGTAGGGTAGTGGTCTAGACGTGGCATTTGTCAAGCATTAAGTAATTTTATATTGTACTAACCATAGTATGTGAGAATAATTTACTCTATTACTATAATTACTATCGATCATGGTCTGAAATAAATAATTCTAATCTATACTATTCTATTGTAATAATACCTGTTTACATTTAAAATTATTACAAGTTAAATGATATAGAAAACGTTTTTGAATACATTCAATTCTATCTGAATTAAACTGATAACCAGAGTTCCAGACAGTGGAACAGTATTCTAAAATACTACGTATTAAACTGTTAAAGATTAAAATAGATGTTGTTGGATCATTAAAAATTTTAATTTGCCTAGACACAAAACCGGTTAACCTTGAAGCTTTACTGATAATTAAGTCAAAATAATTACGAAAGCTTAAGGTAGCGTTCATGACGACACCTAAGTGAAGATCGAGTTTAGATGTTTAGATCATCTTGAAGTAGCTGAGTGTCATCAAGCGAGTTAACTGCTCTGTATAGTAGCAGTAGAGCTCTTTGTGAAAGAGTTCGTCCAGGGAAGTACTGCCATCTTATCTATTTCTGCCGCCAAGCTGTAATGTCAGCTTTACTCTGTTTAGGTTTTGAAGGATAAGGGTGCTGTTGAAATTATGGGCACATGGGACTTGTCAACTTATGTTTCAGGGCACAGTGGCAATGCCCGTCAGATTTTTGCAATTTGAAGCTCTGAGTGGTACTGCAACTGTTATGGACATGCGTGTAGCTTACCATTAGGCGCATGACTTGTTCATCCCGTCCATTGATATTATAACAAAATTTAAAAAAAGGATAGAATTATCACTACATACTGGTTCTAAAGGGAGTTTAAAATCCATAAAACTTCTTTTACCTGATAAATAAAGAATATTATTATCTTACATTAGCGAATTAAAACTTTTAAAATTTTTTTTAAATCCATAAAACTTCTTTTATTTGATAAATAAAGAATATTATTATTTTACATTAGTGAATTAAAAGTTTTAAAATGTTGTTTCTTTTATGAGTATGATTAACCTTTTTTGTTTCACAGTGTATATCTGAAAATTCCCGTTCTCTAAATATATTTTTAAATAAAATTTTATAATTATTTTTTATTGTAAGTAGATCATTTTGAATTTGAAGTCAATGACACAAACGTGACTACGTTGCGTTGTAGTTGTGTTCTGCTTTGTTCTGTTTGATTATTAAGTTCAATCAAACGACTGAGAATTGACCTACCTAATACAATTTGACAATCAAACTATCACCAAGCATCCATCAAACTATCACCTTCATATTTCTTAATATGTAACTTAATTAACCTAAACAGATTTTAATAATTCACTTTATTAAACTTAATGTACCTTATTAAAATCTTATATAAACACTGTTGTATCCTAATTTGACCTACCACCTCTCAACTAGAGGGTTGTGAGTTCGAATCCGGGCTTCCACCTCTGAGTTTCTTAATTTATGAGCGAAATTCAATTTGAAATTTACCATGCGCTTTTCGTTGAAGGAAAACATCGTGAAGGAACCTGCTTACATCTCCAAATAAATTTAATGATGTATGTGAAGTTCTCAATCCGTACTGGGCCCGCGTGGGAACTATATCCTGGGCCTCCCATTGTGAGAGGAGACTTGTGCCGAAGTGCCCAGTGGGACTAATGCGTGCTAACTATTATTTACTACCTTATTATTATTAGTAATTTTTAAATACGTTTGTATAATTTTTATTTTCAATCACTAAGAAATCTTTCTTTTTGATTTTGTATTTTTTTCTGCCTGCATTTTTTCGAGTGGCGACCAGGAGTAAAATAGCGCACAGAATTTACTCACTATGGGCTTCTATCTCCCACATCTAGAGTTCTATGTTGAAACATTTACTTATCAATTTTACTTACAATTCGTATGATGATAATTGGTCTAACCTTAGTGTCCCCTCTCGGGTAATAATGACCTTGAAATAATCGACCTTATAGATTAGTGCTAAAGTTACCATTCCTACTCATTGAATGAAACTTTCACGATTTTCACACATTATTTTATTTTAAAATCGTGACTTAATCGTGTACAGAAATATTGCGTCCCTTCAAGACAGTTGCAACATGTCCAAAACATCTAGGTAAAATATTATTCTACATAGGGCGCACTATAAGTTTCCGGAACTGGCCACTTACAAAAACAATATTTAAAAAGTAATTACAACATTTGAAAATAGAACTCTTTGGCTGTAGAATACAGTTTATTTCATCTGACTGACACTTGTTTTTACATTGTGGCATCATTTTAGAAATTGGTTGTCTACATCACCAAAGATTTAACTCGTGAAAATTTTCATAGTATGACTTTCTACGACTTTCAAGTGTAATTTAACAGCTCAGCGGAGCTTCGCTCGGCTTCAAACTGCTTTTGGCGATGAAGCACCTTGCAAGACGATTATTTATAGCTGGTGTGCAGAATTCAAACGCGGTCGTGTGAATCTCAGTGACGAATTTCGATGGTCGCCCGTCGACTGCCGTGAACAACAAAAACATCGATGCTGTGCGCCGTATGATCAAAACAGACAGGCTTGTGATATACCATGAGATTCGGGCATCTTTAGGCATAGGCTTGAGTCAAATACAATCAATACTATACAAACATTTGGGCGTGAAAAAGCTGTGCTCTCGGTGGATCCCACACAGTTTGACTGAGGCTCAAAATACAAATCGTGTCACTGGTGCAATGGCATGCTTACCAGATTCGACGAAGAGACGTCAAATTTGATGTGGGACATAGTAACAGGTGACGAAACATGAATTTATAGTCCACGATTCCAAAACAAAGCAGCAATCGAGCGTATGGGTCTTTCGAGATGAGCCGAAACCAACCAAAGTGGCGCGCGTGCAGAGTGCCTCTAAACGGATGATTGCTTCTTTTTTTAATAAAACTAGACAAGTGGCTACTGTTACTTTGGAGAATCGTTGTACCGTGAATAGTGATTGGTACACGACCATTTGTTTGCCGGAAGTTATTGACAAACTCCGTAAAAATAACCGTAAACGCCGTATCATCTTGCACCACGATAATGTCAGTTGTTATAGGGCCAGACAGACAAATGATTTTTTGAAGGTGAACAACGTTGACCTTATGAGCCATCCCCCGTACAGTCCAGACCTGGCCCCTGTGACTTTTATTTATTTCCAAAAAATAAGAACCAGTTACGCGGTCAACGATTTTCATCACTTGAAGAGGCTGTCGAAGAGTATGAAAAATATGTTTCAGAGATTGTCACGGAGGAGTGGCATAAGTGTTTTCAAAATTGGTTCATTCGTCTGAAAAAGTGGATTAACGCTAACGGAGAATATTTTGAGAAGCAATAAATTCATTTCTGACCATTTATAGTATTTTTTTCTTATTCGTTCCGGAAACTTATAGTGCGCGTTACGTATACACGTTAAGTCCCGATTTTAAAATCAAATAACATTGTTACTTAATTGTCAAGCCTCAGGAAAGTGTAATTAAAAATAATCATATTTATTGCAGTGAGAACAGTGTTTAAAGATGAGAGGAAGTACTATGAAAATTTGGTCCACAGCAGCATCCAGAGGCTCATACTCTACCCCTATCACTTAGCTGATATGATTGTTAAAGGTAAGTTATTTTTGCAGAAATTATTCCAATATACTATAACTCTAAATAATACGCATCAGAGTCAGTTGACGTCATCGCCACATTCCTAAATGCGGCGAATTTTGTTTACTTAAACGTACAGTTAAAAGCAAAGTTTCCTTTGCACGTGTAATGATCTGAAAATGTGCTCTGTTTCCAAGGAGCTCAAAATTCTCGAGGTGTAATGTACTGCGCTCTGGTATTCTCGCCAATTAGAAATCTACATCTGGAAGTGCTAACAGTAATTTAAGAAGCAAAAAGCTATTCAGTTAAATACATTGAGCTAGGTGCTGCTTAACCCGTTCATAGATAGTAACGGCGTTTACTGTATAATTAAATATCAGACTATAGGACCGGGTATATCAACGTACTTTACAGTGTGATTCCCAAGTGCTTTCTGTGCAGGTGCTTCTCTATAGAGAAGTATCCACAATGTACTGACAAAATTCGATGTTTACATTGAACATTTTATTTTGAATCAATATAAGCAATACCACACAAAGAATAGTAGTGACATTTTGTGTACGATATTATTTATGTAATGTCCATGAACGGGCTAAAGAGAGATGGGCAGTGACCCTAAGTTTTTGAAACACCTGTTTATAATCTGGTCAACTAATGCCGCAAGTTTTCAATGAAAACAATTTTTTTTTAGTCCATTGGTTATCACCGTTTAGTCAGATAACCTTGGTATTTGTATAAAGAAGATCTAGAGGAATTTCACAAGTTTCTCAGATTCTTGGGATCTTAACACTAATTGTTATGCTAATGCATATCGTTATGTTTACAAATAGCACAATTAAAAATGTAATAGTCTCCGAATATATTTGTATAGCAGATTTAGATTATTTATTATCTTGTAAACTTTACATTATTATATACAATATATAGTATTACAAGAATCGTTACAAATAGTAATAAATAAATGTACATTTAAAAAAATTACAAATACCCAGTCTAAGTTTTGTATTATATAATTTTAACATAGTTATGTGAAATAATGTAAGAACATATTAAACAACATAACAATAATTACGTCAAAATAATATTAAAATTTGCTTGGTGATTAAAAAGTCACCAATATATGACTTGGCCTCCTTGGCGTACTTCCTTTATTCACATAAAACTTGTTTCAGGTTTAAGGATAACGCCGTTCATTTACTACGTAGAAGTGGTTGCGCTGCTCATAGAGTTAGAGAAGAGTTATGACACTATGCCCAACTTTACAGCAGCTGACTGTGAGTATTAGCTTTTAGCCATATCGTTAAAAGAAACAAGGGCCGTCTTGTCATCCCTGTAATAAAAAGCACGATCTTTGACCATAACATTTATGTAACGGCTATTAGAATTTATAACAGACTCCCGATTAATATCAAACGCTTAAATGGTAATCAATTCAAGGCTCATTTAAAGAAATGGCTAAGTGACAATGTTTTCTATAATCCAAACAAATTTTATAATATATCAAATACTTGACAATCGTTAGTCATCTATAATTTTGTTTTATGGACATTTTAATTGAATTTTAATGACTGTAATTTTAAAATATTGTACGCCCCACTTGGGTAAGAACAGTGAATCAAGTGGCATGTAACACCTTAAATCTACCACTTCATATAATTATTAAAATTAATTAATGTTTATGATTTTTATAAAAACCAATATTCGCGTTATGATTTTTATAAAAACCAATATGTATTCGCGTTAAGCTATTGACATTCGGTATATCCGGTACAGCCACCTTCCGCGAATTTCAAACTGCGTTAATAATTTAGCAATACGTGTTTTTATATAAAAAGAAAACGGCTTAAACCATCGCCTATGCTTACATATACCTTGTATGATAATCTTTGTGTTATTAATTAAACCATTAGTCATCCTAGAGACGCACTATATCCCTAATGATTATGGCACTGTAGCGTCTTAGAACCACACGGTGTCTCTAACGCGTTTTATTTTCAGCCACACCGTTAAAAAAAGAATAATTTAAATCTCGTTACAAAGTACTAAAAAAACCGACCTCAAAGGTTCGTGGAATTACATCTATTTGCCAAGTTTTATTGAAATCGGTTACCGGAAAGTGTACGAAACTGGATTCATCCCCTAGTTTGCCACCCCTAGAGGTGGAATATTTTCTTCAAATTTAAATAGGACCAATACTAAGGTACCCTCTTTCCAACAAAAAAGAATCATTAAAATCGGTTCACAAATGCCTACGAGTTATCGCGTAACATAGATAACAGTCGAATTCTTTCTTTGAAGTCGGTTAAAAAAGGAACACCGTGTGTCTTATTCCACACATACATACGTAAAATTTTATTGCTCCATTTTGCTTATAAAACGTTGACCTTTAATTTAAAGATAATTAGGAACGCAAGCTCATTATAAAGACATAATAGTATAGAAATTCATTTAAAAATTTGTGTGTCCTTGAACAATAACAATATTTTTTATTATTTTTTTTTATAACAATAACGCACAGACTCAACATAGCTATGCGCTAGGGAAACCCAGTGTCCCGGGTGCCATGAGCACGCACGTAGACAACCACAAATTACACCCAAACTCACGAGAGAAATAAATGTAGGCCATACAAATATTTTACCCGGCCCGGGAATCGAACCTAGGACCTCTGCGTGGCAGTCCGGCATGGTAACCGTTCGGCCACGGAGGTAGTTTAAAAAAGACAATGGGAATTGAAATTCTCATTGCAATGTAAATCCAGGACAATGTTGTGTGTACCACTCAAGGCCAAACATACGTTGTTACACGTCGTAGTTACATAGATATAATGTGTATATCTGCATAGATATATGTGTGTTTTCGCATGTTTTTGTCAAGTTTAGCTGTTTAGATAACTGCTTGTTTTATAGGACTGAATAACAATATGTTATGTAATGACATTATGTTAGACCGAGGAAATAGAACTTTGCTGATTTATTTCATCATTGTTATTCACAGCCTGACTTTTTTATGATATCATGTGACGGGACGAACAAGTCGAGCACCTGCTGGTAAGCGACACGCCTGCCCATAGCAGTTGCAGTGTCACTCAGAGCTTTAAATCGCAAAGATCTGTTGACAAGTCCCATGTGCCTGTAATTTCACCGCTTCACTGCGTAGAGTCATTTGCCTGTCACGTACTAAAAAAAGTCACTTAGTTGACAAGGCGTCTGTAAATTGTGGAATAAGTCTAAAAAAATTAATACAACATTTCAGGTCTAAGACTTTTAGGTATAGGACGCAACGAATACTTAGAGCTAGTAGCGAAAGCTCGTTCCCTAGGGCGCCGTGGACGGTCCAAAGCCATTCGGGCTTTATTGCCTAGAGTTCCGATAAGCATACCCATGCAACCCTGGTGGAGAGTCGAACTTGGATACGTGCTGGAAGAGGATGTTAAGGTAATTAGGCTTTATTGTCATAGCTTTAAGGTTTGAGTTTGAGGTTTTGACTTTATGTACTTCTTATAAAGACTGTTTGGTGTTTTGGAAATAAATGAAGATAGTTTCAGTTCTTTTATTGTGTATAATTAGTACAATACATATTGTACTAATTATACACAATAAAAGAACTGTATGTAAATGTATTATTCTTACGTTTTTTTTTCTGAATTGCATTAGTTTTTAGTCTACGATGAGCCAAAACAATTCCGAGCGTTGGATTTTCTGTTCACGAATATTAATCCAATTTAATCACAGCTTTAAGGTGTTTTATCATGCGTTACAAGTAAAATGTTTGTTTGCCTTTTTAAATATTGTTTTGTTGCTAAATATTAATACAAGTGGTTTATCAAGGGCGTGCCTAACTTGCATGTAATTCTTTAGCCATTGAGCCAGAGCGAACGGGCCGTGATAGACTTGCTGATTGACCGCGGTAGTCAGACCGCCGGCACGCTCGACTACAACGACGTCAAGACCTTGTACAGGTAACGACTTCTTAACATATTGTCACGCAAATATCAATCCCCTTTAAGCGAGTCTCCACACTTGTCTTTGCGGAATCGGCTTGATCCGGGCAGAAAAAGCAGTATGTCCACGCAATAGAAGCAAGGTTCGAAGTGATAATATTGTCGTTGATAAACATTTTCAAAAATAGTAACTTTTTTACAAAAAAAAAAAACCGACTGTTGCCCAGTTTTATTTGAAAACGGTTACCGGAAAATGCGCGAAACCGGATTCGTCCCCTACTATGCCAGTGTTAGAGGTGGAATATTTTCTTCAAATTTAAATGGGAACAATACTGAGGTTTCCTCTTTCCAATAAAACAAGAATCATCAAAATCGGTTCACAAATTAAAATCGAATCATCATAACCGGAGTTATCGCGTAACATATACAAAAAAACAGTCGAATTCAGAACCTCTTTTTGTACTCGGTTCTGTTTCTGGTTTGACAGTATTGGTTTCTGTTAAATTGAGTAGCAAGTATGTAGGAAACAGTCGCTGTACCCCTGAAACTTTGCTTTTGTAGCTTACAGTAAGTCTTACAATAAGTAAGAAATAATCAGTAAAATATAGTATTTCTAATATTCATGTTACATTAAAAAAAATTATGTTGATTATTTTGTATTTACAAATAATAAAACCATAATTCTGGATGTCTTTTTTATATTATATTTTAGTAAGTATTTTCATTTTTAGTACAAAATTAACGATATCAAACTATGAATCGGCGTGGATAATTGTCAAAGAAAATAAATTTCTTGATTCGATGATTCATTTCGAACCCTGTATAGAAGCGGAAAGGCCGATCTGCGTCTCACAACGCCTTTTTCGCTCTTATGGACAGGCGTGTAGCTTACCATCAGGAGCACGACTTACTCGTCCCGTCACTTAATATTATTAAAATAACAAAGCAGTACAGAGTACTAAAAAAACCGACCTCAAAATTCATTCATTCCTAGTTTGCCACCCTTAAAGGTGGAATATTTCTTTCAAATTTAAATGGGACCATATAGAAAGAAAATACATTTATTTGTTTACCACAACGACACCACAAAAGACAAAAGACAAAAAAGAAAAATCGGAACAAAACAGAACTAAAACAAAACACGATCAAAACATTCAACGTAAAACAAATATATAATTACGAAACAAAAACACAAACAAACACAAAATAAAAATGTATATACAAAAATTAGATAAAATTGAAACATGAACTATTCACACAAATAATAAAAGGAAGACTAAGTATTGAGATACCTTGTGTGGTGCCAGGCGCGGTAACAAAAGGGTCGCGAACTCAGTATTTGCTGGAAAACGCAACGCGTTCCCAGCACTGATTTTCAGTTAATATTTCATATCTGAGGTACCCTCTTACCAACAAAAAGGAATCATCAAAAATCGATTCACAAATGCCGGAATAACCGCGTAATATACATACAAAAAAAACATACGGTCGAATTGAGAACCTCCTCCTTTTTTGAAGTCGGTTAAAAATAAATAAAAATATGACACTACTTTTTTGTACCGGCTCAAGCTGATCTTACGTTGATAAGTGTAGTGACCGCCTAACACGTAAGAACATAACTTACGAGTTTTGAACGAGGTTCGATTCAGAATGTCGTGTTCTATTAATAGGAAATGGACACACGCTAGACCACAATCTCACCTGATGTTAAAGGATTTCACTCTAATCTTGAATAACCTTAAATTATAATTTTCACTTAGTGAGAAGAAGGACTGTAATAATACGACTCTCATAATGGTGAAACTGTTGTACTCTACGGCCTAATTACATTTTCTGAAACCTACTGACACTACACATTCTTTTTAATGGTTTACTACAGTGGAAATTAAACTATATTTTCCCTGATCTGTAATCGCATGTATTTGCTTTTTCAAACAAGTCATAAGTTAGCCGTGACGATGGGACTTGTACATATGTATATAAACACTTTATTGTACCACAAAACATAATTATATGTCAACAAACAATTTAAAATGTTACAGTACAAAGGCGAGTTTATCCTTTGAATAACTGAGAGTAAAGTTGGTTCCTGGGTTTGCAATAAAAAAAATTGAAACAAATTCAATGCTACACAGTCGATAAATACACGGATAAAATTAATTGAAAGTGAAAGAGATCATCCAGGGAAGTACTGGCACCGTACCTCTGCCGCCAAGCAGTAATGTCAGCATTACTGTGTTCCGGTTTAGAAGGGTAAGGGTGCTGGTGAAATTACACCAACATGGGACTTTTCAACTTATGTCTCAGCGCGCAGTCAGGGCGCAGTGGCAGTGCCCCTCAGATCTTTACGATTTAAAGTTCTGATTGGCATTGCAACTGTTATGGACAGGCTAGCTTACCTATCAGGCGCACGACTTGTTCGTCCCGTCACTTGATATTAAAAAAAAATACAAATACATATATTCAATAAATGTGTGTTATTCGAAAAAATAAATATAGTCTCAACACGAAAAGACTCGAGATTTATATAGTCCATTTTCGTTTTAGGCGCGGCCTTATCTACCTAGATGTCCCAATAACAACAGCGGACAAAGTGTCAGTGCCCCCACTGAAAGGGTTTGTAATGAACCGCGTTGCAGGGGACTACTTCGAAACCTTGCTCTACAAAGTTTTCGTGTCTATAGACGAGCATACTAGTGTTGCTGAGTTAGCTACTGTATTACAGGTACGGTGATATTTTATATATAACCTCCAAAGACCCAGCAAAGTACAATAGGAAATGCGCCAAACGCCCGATGTACTTTAAAATGTTTTAATTATATTCTTCGGGCTCAAGTTGTATGTCCCCAGTATTGTATGATGGTGGTACTTCACATGGCTATTTGTATTTGCGTATTTGATATATTTGGCAAACACATACTTAGAAAAAATCCTTCTATCCGGCCGGATTCGAACCGACGTCTTCTAGCAAACCGTGCCAGACGCTACGCCAATTGGAGAGCTCGAAATAGCATATCATCGATATATGTAATTCCGAGCTCTCGCTAATATCACCACACATTACTGCACACTCTATTTGACGTCAAACGATGTTTTAAGTACATGTTGTAATTGTCATCGGTTTGTAATGATTTTTAAATCACTTTCCATTGTCAAAAGCTGTTAGTATATCTATGTTATTTAATAGGTGGAGTGCGAGCTAGTAAAGCAAGCTGTATCACTCTACTGCCGCCTGGGCTTCGCCAACAATCTTCAACCTCCTCCGGTGGCGCCGCAGCACCCCTCCTGGCGCGATGCCGTCACCACACACGCGCATCCACCGTAAATGCAATTCTATTACAGCTACTGATAACGCAAAATAGGCTGCAATATTGTATATAGAATGTCCACTTCTTGAACATTCAATAGCAGTAGAGCTCCTTGTGAAAGAGTTCGTCCAGGAAAGTACTGCCACCGTACCTATTTCTGCTGCCAAGCAGTTACGTTAGCATTACTGCGTTCCGGTTTTTGAAGGGTAAGGGTGATGGTGAAATTACTATAGGCACATGGGACTTGTCAACGTATGTTTCAGGGTGACGGGCGCTGATGCAGTGCCCTTCAGATCTTTGCGAGAGCCACTGAGAGCTTTATCTCTCAGTGGCACTGCAACTGAACAGGCGTGTAGCTTAACACCGGGCGCCCAACTTGTTCTTCCCGTCTCTTGATATTTAAAAAAAAATCCCCAGCACCCGTACCCTTCAAAACTGGAACGCAATAGTGCTTACAGTGCGGCCAAAATTGATAAGGTGGCAGTACTTTCCCGGGCGAACTCTTTAACAAGCAGTTCCACTGCTATTAAAACTTCACAAAATCACAACTTATACAAAAATCCGAAGAGAATTTAATTGTTATAAAACACTGCGTTTCTTTTTCCTACGTTATCTCACTCACTCATTCATAATTAATGCATTATGGCTACGTTCAAAATGAAGAATTTTTGCATACACATTTGTTTGTTATTTTATATAGTTTTATTTCGTTTTTCAGATACCGACAAATAAGCCCACTAACGTTTGACCCTCATGAGGAGGACACCTTACAAATGGAACCTGTGCTTATCAAGCAGGAGCCTTCTACCTCCAAACAGGTGACGTGCTATCTCTTAACATTTTTTTGGGAAAAATCAATTTTGTGAATAAATTGCGCACTAAATAATCATGTGACTACATCCGCGGCCCAACGGTTTATTATGTGGGCGCTGGATGAGGAGGTCCCGGGTTCGATTTTTGGTAGTACTTGGAAATTAACTTTTTTAAATTGGTTCTGGTCTAGGTGTTCTGGGATGTGCTCCAGAGTTAATTCCGTTGTTCTGGTACTCAGCCGTAGAGTGCTGGAAATTCTCTAGTTTCAGATCAGGCTATTGGTGTGGTTGTCTGGCACATATTATTATTATTATTATTTAAATAAATGTTATTATATATATTATTTAAAAAAATAACAAAACGTGTGACCTATGACAGCCTTGAATAACCCCAAGTTGTAGTTTTCAGAAAACACAGATAGTGTAGTCTGTTTAATTTAGGCATAGAGTTCTTTGTGACTGTAGATTTTAAGCGCAAGTAAATTAAGTAGATTAAGTAAATTACAAAACTTTTATTTCTTTTTTTGTAATATGTATTTGACGACTGTGGTGGGGCAGTGTTTATTGCAGCAAGCGCTTAATGACAATCTCGGGTTCAATTACCAGTAGGCCAATTCGGGAAATTAAGGAAATGACTTTGCTAAAATGGTTTTGTTCGGGGTATTCTGTGTAGTGCCTTGGAGTTGATTTTGTTGCTCTGGTGAACACAAAAAGTAGGTGGTCAACATTTAATTTCGGATACATTAATGTCTTAGTTACATAATGTAACTTGTATTCCCTCAGATCTTTGCGATTTAAAGCACTGAGTGGCACTGCAACTGCTATGGACAGGCGTGTCGCTTATCACCAGGCACACGACTTGTTCGTCCTGTGACTTAGTATCATAAAAAAAATATATATTTAATATATTTAACCGTTTATTACAGATATTTCAACACCAAGAACAATCAGACTCCCCTCCAATAGGCGGTAAGCGGGTAGCTGTGTTATTTGATTCTACACTGGCCGCCTACCTCATGATGGGCAATCTGTCTCCCGACTTGAAGAGCCACGCTGTCACCTTGTTCGAAGTCGGGAAGCTGTGTGATGAGAGCCTTGACAGCTTGCTTATGGAACTTGATAAGGTACTGGAGAGCTACCATAACTTTCCAAAAAGCAATCTTATTTCAATATAAGCATATCGACAGTGGAAATTTGAAATGTAAGGAATATTTTGTCGTAATGAAAAATGTACCTTACTACAAAATGTTCCTTACGGGATTTCAAATTTCCACCATCGATATTGTAAGCTTATAATAATATTACTTATATTCGTACTATGACAAATCAGTCAATTAAGTAATTATTATTATTGTTAAAGTGATGGAAAAAACGAATGATTTTCAATGATTATCTATTCCTATAAAGTAGGAAAGAAAGAACGCTATTTGAACTGCATAATGCCATCTTTTTCTTTTTTGGTGGTCCGAATCGTCCAATCGTAGTATAATGTTGAAGTATTTATACTCATTATATTATTTATATTTAGAGAATATTCAACAAAGCGCAGCAAGTGGAGCAAACGAAGTTTTCTTGGCAATCATTGCATCACAAAATCACAAATTGCCTGGATCTTCTGCTGACAACCGATCCAGACCGCTTACAAGTATCGGTCTCGTCCCCACTAGGGACATCCGATCACTGTCTGGTGAAATCTGTATCTGTCTACTCCCCACCCGATCCCAGTACGAGAAGTACTAGGAGGATGTGGCAATACAAGTCAGCAGATTGGGATGCGTTGCGGCATTTCTTTGCATCTTATTCCTTGCGGCAGTTGTGCTTGTCTGCCGTCTCTGAGGTGATTATTCGGGCTATGGAATACTTTATTCCGTATTTCGAAGTCTCCTCCAGCGGCAAAGCTCGCCCTTGGTTTAACGCTGAGTGTGCTTCTGCGAAAACGCTAAAGCAATCTGCGTACCAGGCTTGGGCTGATGCTCGAGATCGGAAAGCACCGGAAACCCTCCGTCTGCATAAAGCCGGTAGATCCTGCAAAAAAGCGATACGGAAAGCTCGCTTCAACGACCTGCTGCTGATGCCCGGTATCTGTGGGTACGCAGACGACAGCCCAGTGGTAGAGAGTTATGTGCCAGACGCCCGAGACAACAGCGAAGAGATTCGGTGTAAGCGAGAGGCGATGGTCACCCGGTTGAACCTGATTCTGAAAGCTGCTTCCGATTGGGGTGATGCTAACAGGGTCAGGTTTAATGCGGCTAAAACACATGCGTGTCTTTTCACATTAAAACGGAGTCTGTATGTATCCGTGCCGATAAGGGACCACCTTGAGCTACTTGGTCAACACTTATCATCCAACCTCAACTTTGGGAGATACATCGAATGCTTGGCAAAAAACTGCTGCCAGAAAAGTAGGCATACTTTACAAGGTCAGGCGGTACTTCACACCTGAACAGCTTTGAAATCTATATAAAGCACAAGTTCGATCCTGTATGGAGTACTGCTGCCACCTTTGGAACGGCTCTGCCCATTACCAGTTAGCTGCCTTGAACTCGGTGGAGCGAAAAGCAAAGAGACTTATTAACAATTTCTCTTGTGGAGTCGAAGCTTCAAAATCTTGATCATCGCAGAAAAGTAGCCTGCTTGTCGGTTTTCTATCGGATACATTTCGGGGAGTGTGCGCAGGAACTTGTCAATTTGGTTCCGCCCTCACCGTTCCTCCTTCGGTCGACTAGAAGGTCCGGAGCAGTCCATTCTTATGTCGTTGACAGGTGGAACCTATACGCACTAAGCGCTTTGCTTCCTCCTTTCTGATGCGTACGGCAAAGGAATGGAATGCTCTACGGCGTCTGTATTTCCCGAAAAGCTCAATTTGGGGCTATTCAAGGCTAGAGTGAATAGGCATTTTTAGGCAAACGCGTCCCATCGTCGGTCACATAGTCGCTTAACATCAGGTGAGATTCTGGCCAAGCGTGTGTCTATTATATATTTAAAAAAATCACAGGCTCATATTTACAAAACGATAAAAATACAGACAGTAAAAATTTAAAAACTGGACATGAAGAAAAAATTTTTTGTAGTTTTAAGATTTATTCCATTCCAACCGTCGCTTAATTTTAAATTTAATTTGCTTCTTGCTGTTCACACTACTGAAATTCAGTTGTCATATTCTGGTCATCATCAGACCTTTAAGATTTATTGTCAGCCAAAATCTTATGTATGAACAGGTGGGGTAAGAGTAACACTGGGGGAAGAAGGACTTGAAGCCTTAACTTGCAATCTAAAAAAGTTTAGCACTATAGTCTCTCTGTCGATAAAATACAAACACATTAGTTTAAACGATTTTAACGAGATGTCGCTACGATACTCCAAATTTAAAAGGCGAAAAAAACAAATTTGACTGTTGCGAAATCTTGATAACACGAGGTATACATAACTTTTATAAGAAATACGCTGTACTGTTTCCTCTTACAATATCTTTTGGGGGCTTGTAAATTATACTAACGCAATTTGCATGTTTCGGCAAATTCAATAGTAAATACTGAATTTGGAGTAATGTTTTTCTGTTAATAAAATTAAACATAAATGTTATGTAATGTAATGTGAAATTATTAATGGGATTATATCTAAATGCGGAAGCATTTTATTTTTTATTCTTTTTTTTTTTAGCGAACGACGAAAAAATATATTTTAAAAAGTCGCCCCTTTGTTTCGACAGTAATTAGCGGCAAAAAGGTTTGATTTTTAAACTTAAGTTTAAAAATCATCTCTATATCCAACCACTAGTTGCAATGTCCCCTTATTGTTTCATTGAAGAACCATATGTTCGCTTGCACTTCATTTATTTATTTATTTATTTATTTATTTATTTATAAGAAGAACACAAACAGTTACATATTAAACAAGAAAATATAACAAACATTGATAAGAATAAATAACTAAATATGAACCAACAACATGTTCCACAAATGATTAACAAATTATTCTATCGCGTGACACATGCGCGCAGGCCGATGGAATAATATTTAAAAATGAAAATGTCAGTTGAGCTTCGTAGCAGTAGAGCTCCTTGTGAAAAAGTTCGTCCAGGGTAGTACTGCCACTTTACCTATTTCTGCTAGGTTCCGGATTTGAAGGGTATTGGTGCTGGTGAACATGGTGGTGGTGTTACAGGCGCATGAAACTTTTCAACATTTATCTCAGGGTGACAGGCGCAGTGGCGCCGCTCAGTGACAGTGCCCTTTGATCGGCACTACACCTGTTATGGGCAGGCGTGACGCTTACCATTAGGCGCACGACTTGTCCGTCCCGTCACTTACTATCATAAAAAAAATGTCATTGTGGTTGAGCCGCTAATATACCATAGAAAACTCACTTTTATTATATGTAGTCTTACCTTTTAAAATTATGTTTCAACAGGTAGTAGGAGACCCTGAAATCGAAGGTGAAGCGCGACGCTACCTTGCTGCTGCGGCGTGTCTGCGTATAGCCTTAAGGACGTTGCGGCCAAAGTTACGGCCGTTGGATTTGCTTCGCTGTGAAGCGCTGCACGCGCTTGGCGCTGCGGCACGCACGAGGTTGTTGACTACTAAATACAGGTTAGATTCGTTTTTTGCGGCTCCATAATACTTTGAAATTATTTGACATCAATAAAAAAAGAAAACACAAATGAATAATAAAACGAACAAGTCAAATGTGTCTTACTTGCCTGACCTATGTAAGGAAGTATACCGTGCAACAAATTAAAAAAGCCCCTTACTGACCATGGCTGTAATGGAAATACGCGCCCGTAATTTCGGCACGTAGTGTCCCTAGCCAGTGTTGGCTGTAAACGGGCGTGTCGCCGTCCGCAGACTGGCGATCTCGACGGCGCCGCTGTGCCGCGAGGCGCGCGCGGGCGCAGCTGCAGCGGCGCTGGCGCACGTGGGTCCCGCGCCCCAGGAGGCCGCCACGCCTTGGATGCGGCTATACCTCTACCACGTCGCGGGCTACGGGCCGCCCACCCTGCTGCTCACTAAAGGTAACGCATATCGTCGCCTTACTTATTAAGTTACTGAAATGCGAATAATGGATTGTATATACATATTCTGCAGGCTGATTCCAAATCACGTTTCCTTCATGTTCACACACGGGCTTAGTAATGCATCCAAATTAACGACCTTGATAACAAATTTAAAATAAATAGAAAGTTTTGCCATCTCCTGAACAATCACTCTGAAAGATACGAGTTTGAGAAAGTAAGGCATCAATATTCGTTGCTCGCTTATACTGTACAGTACGACTCTGGAAACTAGACGAGCGTGCCTACATCTCCGCCACCAAAGAGGAGATTTGGTAGTAGACTTTAGACAGACAACGGGAAGTGAGCGTGTCTACAGCTCCGGTACCTATCTGGAAAACAGAGACGGTACTGTACGTGCACCCAGAGCGGCTCACCCGAGGCACTAGCGAGAACTGATGAAGTCCGTGATAACGGTCTGTGACAACCCTATACACGGGCTAATCCGGGGTCAGGGTCTGAACTTAGAAGGTCCGTGTGCTTGCACAGGTTGTAGTGCCTTTCTCGCATAATCAAAAGATTGATAAGGATAGTGACCCACTATAATCAAAACACATGTCGAAGATACGGGACTGTACAGTACAACTATTTGCTTAATATCTCTGGGCAACCTTTGCTTCGGCAATCGGCCCTTACACTTGGTGCAGACCGGACGCTCACAATCGACTTGGAAGTAGCTTTTTATAAACAAAAAGAATAGTACATTATTGCAGAGGCCGGGAAGTAAGGGATTGCTGGACGAGTATGAGTTACAAGGACGAGCGCCAGCGAGGCCTTGTATTAATACGAGTCAAGCAATCCCCATTCCCACCGAGGCGTGTATAGAGTTTTTCTCAAACTATGTGAGGAAATACTAAAAGACTAAAGAGAGTTAGATATTTAACAGAAAAAGTAAAAAAAATAAATTAAAAGTGACGTGTTACGACAATTGCTAAAAGAAAATGTTATTGTTTTTCCAGTCACGTTAATAGTGGTCTGCTGAACTTCTGATGATGAGTTTGAATGTGTATTTTCTGTATTTTCGTTATCGCTGTTCTCACTAGCACTCATTTTCGCGGCCAAAATACAAAAAAGACGAAAAAACTAAAGAATACCAAAACACTTTAGTTAAAATGTTACCATCATTTTCTTTTTTTTTTTTAAGAAAGCTGTTTAGTAGGTATTTTTAATTCTCGCAATTACGGACACTGGGCAGTTGGCTGTATGAGTTTTTCTTTTGCCTGTTGACATAGTTTATTATTAGTAGATAGATTTAAAAGTTTAGGGAAGTGGACAGTAATGGTTTCCATACTTACTTTGCAGGCCTGGGCCGGGAAGAAGTCGCACGGTCCATAAATTACAAAGTTTCCGTATTCGTTTTTTGAAAGTAATGCAAACATTTCCGAGCATGTTTGAGAAAATTATATTTTTGTTAACGTAGCACAAATGTATTAAAACCACTCTCTAAATTTGCAGCACCCTTACAGGGTGTCACGTGTACGGGAATAATATATTTAAGGTCTTTGTAAAACCATGTGGCAAGCAAATAAATATGAATATGAATGTTATTTAAGAAAGGATGTTTTGTGTGGATATGGTGCACAAGGAAATAAAAAACAGAAAAGTACTTGTCGAGTAGGTTTTCACGATTGTTAAACGTAATAATAATAATAACGCACACACTCAACACAGCCCCGCACTAGGGGAACCCTGTGTCGCGGGTGCCATGGATACACACATAGACAACCACAAATTATACCCAAACCCACGAGAGCAATAAATGTAGGCCATACAAATATCGAACCTGGGACCTCTGTATGGCCATGTCCTCGGTATCACCGTAGTAACCGTTCAATCACGTTAACATAGGACTCAGCCAGCCGTGTCCATGGGACCTGTAAAAGGCTCAAACGTTGGTTCGTTTAAAAAACGAATATACATTACTTAGATTAAGAAATCTAGTTTCGTTTCTTATGAATAAAGAACTTAATTTTGAATCCAAATTTTTATGTACGATAAATTTAATAATTACTAGACATGAAAATTTGTATTCACTGATGCAATTGGAAACGCGACAATTGCTGAGAGATGTTAAGAAAATACTTTTATTATGCTGGATAGGAAGATATTGGGTCGTAACTACTCACGCCGCAGTTGTTTTCGCAGGCACATATCTCCGATCAGTACCGCGATTGCTTCTCGGCTTTTCTCGCCTCCTGGTAGTATTCTGGACGGCGGAGGCCGCTTTGGAGGGGGCGCAAACTGTTGCTGGGGCGCTACCAGCCGCCGCCGCTCTGTCGGCCGCCAACTCTGCTCTTAGACGGGGCCCTGTGATGCTGCAGGCCGTGGGAGTTAGACAACCTGCGGCGCTGAGGCTCATCATGTTCCCACCTGCTGGAGATCCTGGTAATAATAATAATAATAATACATTTATTTCAGATTTACATCCATATGTGTTAGTAACAATAACCTTATGAGCTATGTTAGTGATTTCAATTCAGAAAATAAAATTAAATTACAATTAAGATACAAAAATAAAAATAAAATAAAAATTCACATGAGAAATGGGGGAAAATTACCAGATTCTCCCTCACTTCTCACACCTAATCTGCGACTCATGCGACTTCGTCCAATGACTGAGTATAGGGCTGTCATTTGTATTGGCCACCGCGCTCAGAAGGCTGTTGGCGCTGAAAATGAATGTAAGAGAATGTTCAAAAGGCTAGGGCTGAAAATGCATTTTCACCGTGTATTTAACACTATTTTTTAAATAAATAAATATTATACAACAATGACGCTTTGATCCCAAAATAAATAACTAAAGTACTTGTGTTATGGAAATCGGAAATAACGACGGTACTCCAAACACAAAAACCAGAGACAATTTGACCTGGCCAGGGATCGAACCCCGGACCTCAGAGAAGATGACACCATAATAAGTGTGCACGCCACTTAACCATGGAGGTCGTCAAATACTTATCAAACAGTCTATGTAGAAACTTTATACAGTGTTCTTCTCGGAGGTTCTCAAGTTTATTGCGTATGTTACGCGATTACATTTGTGAACCGATTTTGATGTGTTCCTCGTGTTGCCACTTTACTGCTGTCGATATTGGTTAATTTATGCCATGAATTTGTATTGTGAAATTTGCAGTTCCAGCGAAGAGTCTCATAAAAAGTTGCGGTAGGCAACAGGCATCGTAGTTTCATAAATTAATAAAAATAAATAAAGTAAAATTAATTAAATTAAAATGTACAGTATTTTTTTTCATAATTGAAATTAATGCTGATCGTCACGGCCCACACAAAATGAAATAATTATTTTCGCCCACTGCGGCTGCTTTTTACTCATACATATAATTACTTTACCAATATGTTTTTTCCGATACCTGGTATACCAAAAATTATGCACAAAGTCAAATTATGTGATATTTATAATCATTTCAAAGTCAATAAAAACCGGTCAAACTTTTGCTTGTGTGCGACAATGAATACACTATAAGTGGAATAAAATGGCATCGTGGTCTATACACACAGCTGATTTCGCTGTCAAGTTTTAACTCGGTACTTCTTAAAGTTGTCGCGCGGGTCTTGCGTAATAATGAAAGTAACACTCGGTCCACATGAATATTATTGTAAGAAGGTAGAAAGAATAAAGTAAGGAAAGGAGAAGGAAAGAATGCAAAATGCTTATGAATGAATATAAAGTAGACACTTACCCCAAAAGGGTCTATATTTGTGTTGTATTGCTGCTTTATAAGCAGTTAAGTTTACATGATTGAAGGACACGCCTTTTCTCTTTGGAAATTTTGTACGGAGTGACGACGGAACGAAGCAAAGTAAGAAGAAGAAAAAGAATCAAAGAACGATTCAAAATTTCAAAAGTAAGTGGCCAGGAACCAGGAGAAAATGGTGATGAAAGGTGGGATGACTGAAAGAGGTCGCATTTAGAATTCATAACAAGAGTTTACAATAATAGATTACATAAAACCGTTACAGCTTAAAAACGTTTTACTAAATTGTTAGTGCTACACGTATTCCTTTGTTATCTAATTTATAACAAAAAAGATGACTGTCCTAGAATCGCAAACGCTGTGGTCCCGGCATGCAGGCCTGCGGCGGCTGTCCTCCCGCCTGCGGCTGTGGCGCGGTGCTGGTTACGTCGCGTTAGCCGACATCGGAGTCCCCGACCTCGGCGTGGCGCATCCCCCAGCTACCGTGCAACTCCGTACGTACTGTCTCTACTCTTAACATGTATCGTTAGGCAGTACATATTTACTTAAACGTTACGTAGCACACATAGAGTGGATCTCTCCTCATCTGAGATCCTGAAATTATCGAAAGGAAAAGGCAAATAATAGAAATAAAATATTTCATTTCTGTGCAAAATACTTATATTATTGTATTTATTGATTAATAATAAATTTGATCTAAAGGCGACATTAGTTGAAGCACTTGCTGCAATTAAGAAGGTTCTAAAATCGCTCTAGAGGCTCGGAACGCCGAAAAATCCAATACAAATATGTTTAAAAAAACACGGGAGAATTTCGACAACTTGACCTGTAGCTCAGTTGGTAAGAGCAATACTACGGTGCAGTATGGTCGTGGTTTCTAAGTTCTGTCGGGTCGAAATAGTTTTTCTGTGTGTTTGATCTTTGTATTAATAATCTATGAAATAATAATCATACAATTTTTTTTTTCTAAATTCGCTACCGTAGTAAAGTAATTGCTAGAAGCACGCTGTACAGAACGCAAAAATACTGAGATTTCAGAGGGATGTATTAATTCACTCTATGCGTATTACTTTCTTGAACCATTGTCTGATTTATAATGGTAATAGGTAGCCTATTCGTCCCTCTGCTGGGCACAGGCCCCCTCTCACAATTAGAGGTATTTAACTGTAGTTCCCACGCGGGCCCAATGCGGACTTCACACTCAGAATTTATTTGCAGATGTGTGCAGGTTTCCTTCCGATGTTTTCCTTCATTAAAAAGCTCTTGGTAAATTGTAGTTCTTGTGTCGGCTAGGGGCACTGCATATTGCCATTCAAAATTTATTCATATAGGATGCGATAGAGAATGACCCCCCTTACTAAAATCATCTATATCATTAACGAACTTGGAAGTTCAGCGGTTCAGAGCTAATGGTAGACTACTCGTTCGTTCCAGAGGGTCAATTCAGAACCTTACGATAACTCAGTTATCGACCAATTTCATTTCATTTTTACTCACAACACCGAATCGAACGTCAAACTGTCGTATTCGAAACCGAAACGAAGTAACGTCACACCCGTACGATTACTCGAACTTCTGGACCGGCAAAGGCTACAAACGTTATTCAGAACCACAGACCACATAAATTCTTTCTTCCGTGTTCAGAACATAGTTATCGAATGAAAGTTACCGAACGTCCTATTGTTTACAAAGCAAGAATGTATTATTATTCTTATTATTATTTTAAATAAAGTTTGGATTTTGATCAATTATATTATTAATTTATTTTAATGCAAGACTAATACATTCCTATATTTTAGGCCTTTAAAGTCTTTAAAATGTATATGAAAGGATTTTCATTTTTGTTATTATTTATTTCACTGACTAAATGCGTAAACGCTATTGGATAACGATATCGCATCCGAATCCGAATCGAACGTTTAACTCCGAATGTTCTGAATAGCTCAGAAAGCACCCTTCGATTCGAGAACAATATCCAATCGAATGATTCGGTTATAATATCGAAGAGCTCTGAATCGTGGTCCTGATTCGACTCCCAGTCGAAACAATTTGAAAAACGTACTTTGGTACGTAGGTATATACCTAGATGTGCTCTATAACTTTATTACACGGATGGTCGCATTAGACGAGATATCTTAATTATTTTCTTTTTATTTCAGTACCACCACGCAAAAAGAAAGAAATATGCGGTATGGCGAAACCGGTTAGCGAAATATCGCTGTTATCAACTGAATCGACAGAACAAGCTGAGGTTTTGTCGAAAGATGCCTCTGAGTCGGCAGATAAATCGGGCGATTTGTCGAGAGTAGCAGCTAGTCGACTTCAGTCGCCAATAGAGTCACACTTCGCGGTCACACCAACCACCGAAAGTAAGAACGGGTCCCCTGCAAACGGATTTACTAGTCTTGAAGGTAATTTATCACAGAGCAATTACCACCATACATACTGCCACCGTACCTATTTCCATAGCATAATACTGTCCTGTTAATTGTAAAATGCAGTACTTGCAAAATAGCGGTTCGGGGAAAAATACTAGAAAAATCTTTAAATATTGTGATTTTTTTGTGAAATAACTTCACTAGTTTTGTTATGTTATGATTATGACAATCGAAAATATAAAGATCGAACACACAGAAAAATTTCGTCCACACGTGGGACTTGAATCCACGTCCATGCTGCACCGTAGCATAGCTCTAACCATCTGAGGCACGGGTCCAGTTACCGAATCGTCGAAATTCTCCTATGTGTTTTTGTTATACACCTTTGTACTGACTAGATGAGTAATATAACAGCTCATAAACTAACATAATCATAAAATTATAGAACGCCTTAAAAGACTAAGGGTCGTATTCTAGAACTCTACTCAATGCTCAAGTCAGGATTGCACTGGAAACACAAGTACTGGAAATACGACCCTAATGGCAGGGACTTGAGTATGATTTCGAGTGCTTTAAACCATACTCAAATCCACTTGAGCATTGAGTAGAGTTCTAGAATACGGCCCTGAGTCTCCTTCATCACTGGTACGACTTGTTCGTCCTGTCACTTGATATTATTTAAAAAAATAACATAAATTTGTTGCTTAGACATCTAAATATTAGTTTTTTGGCGTTTTTTCCCGAACCGTTATTTTGCAAGTGCTGCAGTGGCGCCACTGCAACGCTTCCATAAGCGCCCTTAAAGTACAGACAATCCCATTTGACATGTGTATGCCCGTCACCATAGCTATTTTCACTAGCGAAATAACAATAAATGTATTTAATTTTCCAATGTATATATAATTCTAAATAAATATCTAACACCATTGTATAAGACCAGATAATTTGTGTGATTGTTTGGCACATAATAAAAGTTACCTTCGCAAAATGTTCTGAGTGTTCTTTAAATTCTTTATTAAGTAACACCACATGTATGTCCAACAGGTGGCCAACTCCTATGCGAGGAGCTAGATAATCTAGCGATAAACGATACGTATCAGAGTAAAGAATCAATCGCATGCAGCGACGACCTCGTCCCCATTCATTCCTCTTCCACTAGCAACGAGGATTTGAAAGAGAAGGAGCCCATCTCCAAAGGGACATCAATTAGCAAAGAGTCTATTAACTTCGAAGAACTTGTACCCGTTCATTCTAAAACAGAGTCGAGTAATAAAAGAATAGAGACCCAGTTGAACGATTTGTTGAGTCCGGCGGAAGAATCGGTGTCGATGTTTAGTCAGTTGACTGATAAGTTGAACGAAATGACAGAAGGTGATAGTGGTGTGGACACCGCGCATAATTTTTCCGATGAAGAAACTTGTAAGCCGGAGGTATGTATTTGTTATTTACGGCCTCTGTGGCCCAACGGTTTGCACTGTATAAAAAAAATTAATAATAAAATTTTTATATGCATGAAAATGGCATCCAGCCTGGTGAAATTACAGGCACATGGGACTTGTCAACTTACATCTTAGGGTGACGGGCGCAGTGCCCCTAAGATTTTTGCTATTTAAAGTTCTGAGTGGCACTGCAACTGTTATGGGATAGGCTTGTCGCTTAGCACCAGGCTCACGACTTGTTCGTCCCGTCACTTGATATTGTAAAAAAAATCAAATATAAAATAATTATGGGATTTAGTATCATTCAAAGTATTACTGTAGAAATAAAACTGAACGTACGAGTAAGTTACACCACTTTAGCGCTGATAGCCTCTATTAATTTTGTTGCAGAAATGGACAATATTAGATCTTCAGTTCGGAATTCCATTGTTTGATGAAGTATTATGCGAAAAAATATGCCAATGTATCGTAGAAAGGCTAGCAAACCCCGAATTGTAAGTATATAATTAAATTATATTATTTTTGTCAATGTTTACATCATTATACATTTTTTTATGCAAAATAAAAATATGCTTGGCTATAAACTTACTTGAAGTTAATCGACGATGTGACAGACGAGTGTTATGTCATTTATCAAAAGATGTCTTTGCACTATGGCTTTAAATAGCCCCAAACTATAGTTCCATAAAACACAAACAGGTATATGACAGATTCCGTTGTTTTTTATTTACGATAGACGCATTTTTCTATTTTCGTAGACCCTGCCTTTCTAATATATATTTTTTACAAATTCATCAACTTCAAATGCGTTTTTGGCAGCTCACACACTACTACCACTAACTTTAATAAGTTTAACTGTAGAGTGAGTATTTTTATAAAAATAAACATATGTTAATTTCATCGAATATATACTAGAAACAGAGACGAAATATGGGCCATACGTTTCTGGTAATTCATCAGTCAAATGGGACAGATATCACTTATAAACATTAACTCTCGTTTGCACTGAAATATACACTCGCGAGCAACCAAATCGACTCAAGCGCTACCTCTACATTCAAACATTGTTCTATATAAAAGTATACAACATTTCAATAACAATAATATGCCATTTGAAAGCTTGAAACTTCAGCTTTTAGGAAATGTCGTCATTATTAATATCCATGTATACTTTTTTTTATTACCGGTGTCTGAACTTAAATGGGAGAAAAATGGGATTTTGGGTAAAGGAGTTTGACACAAATAAAACACGTTTTTTTCTTAAGAAGTATAAAATTTATTAATTCAATATTTGGTATTGCCTCCCCTAGCCCTAATTACAGCACGTAATCGATTCTTCATCGATCTTATTAGTTTTTTGACGTTGTCTTGAGGAATACCTTCCCACTCCTCTAATAAAGCTGCCTTCAGTTCTTCCAGGCTCGAAGGAGCTGGATTTCTTGCTCGTACCCTTCGTTTGAGCTCGTCCCATAAATGCTCGATGGGATTTAGGTCTGGACTTAGCGCAGGCCAGTCCATTGTGCGCAAATCGACTTCTTGAAGGAACTCCTGAGTAACGCGCGCTGTGTGGCATCGAGCATTGTCGTGCATTAGGATGAAGTCTTCGCCAACAAATCCTGCGTAGGGCACAACATGTTCCAGGAGAATATTTGTGATGTACCCATCAGCTCCCAGTCCCGCTCCTCGGCCTCCTCCAGGCACGAAAACGAGCTCGGTTTTACCCTCCAACGAGATACCAGCCCACATCATGCAAGAACCGCCACCATAGGCAACGGTTTCTGCGAAACATCATTGGGCAAATCGCTCTCCCGGACGCCTGTAGACCCGGCCTCTCCTGTCACTGCCATGCAGACACATCCTGCACTCGTCAGTGAATAGGACCGACCGCCATTGCCCAAAGCTCCAGTTAAGATGCTCTCGAGCAAACTGTAGCCGAGCTTGCCGGTGGCCTGCAGTCAATTTGGGGCCTGTTGCAGGCCTTTTTGGAGACAGATTGGCTTCCTTCAGACGTCTTCTTACTGTTCACTCACTGACAGCTACGCCTCGAACACGTCTCAGCTCGCCCTGCACGTCGACACCCGTAAGGTGCCGATTTCGCAGGGTGGTTGAGACAATGAAACGGTCGTCTCCTTCAGAAGTACAACGGTGGCGGCTGGTTGTTGGTCTCCGAGTGAATGCTCCGGTCTCTTGATACCGTCGGTATACTCGGGATACAGCAGATTGACTCAAGTGAAGCTGGGAAGCCACTACTCGCTGACTGAGTCCTTGTTGCAATAAGGCAACAACTTGAGCGGCTTCTTGAGGTGTGGTATCCATGGTTTCTTGAAAACAATGAATGCAGGTTGCGGAGATGTGTATCGGTCAACTGTTGATAAGCGACTGATAAGGATTCAAGGGTCACGGGGGTTTTTATAGGGGTAGAGGGTAGCGCAACTAGCAGGTAGCGTAGGTAGTAATTAGTCCCATTCTCCCTAATTGCGCAAATGAACATGTTGGTACTTGTTTTATTTATTGATATTGATGTTTTTTTAAAGCTTAGGTTTCAAGCTTTCAAATGGCATATTATTTTTATTGAAATGTTGTATACTTTTATATAGAACAATGTTTGAATGTAAAGGTAGCGCTTGAGTCGATTTGGTTGCTCGCGAGTGTAGTACAGCGCCAACAACTCACCTGTGTATACGTCTCCTCTCTCTCTCCCTCCCTCTCTCTCCTATCTCGTGAGACGTCTCCGTATATTCGAAAAATATTTTGTATTTATTGTAATAAAGATAATATCTCTAACAATGGGAGGCTGTTCTATTCGGTGGTGTGGAAAAAACGTGAAAACACCTAATTACAAAACAAACGGAATCACATTTCATCGATAATTAAATATGTAATTTTTTAATTTCCGTCCATTATAGCATAGCTCAAGTTAAACTGGATGATTTGAGAACCCGTCAATTGTTACAAATCATTTATTTATTTTTTTGCTTCCACCTAATGCAATTCCCATTACGTCATCTCATTGTATTCATTACACACGCGTTACTAGTGTTGCACTAAAAAATCATATTATGTATCGATATTTGCAAGTATAATTATTACAATATAATGATTTATTTAAACAATCAATAAAGTAAAAAAAATCTTCATCTAATGTCGTCGTAGTAAAGTATTAAGCCTTGAGTATAATGTATAATGAGTATAATTTGTTTCGTAACTCAATCAAACAATACAAGTGAAACATATGTAAAGGTATCGAGTTCTTAGGTTTTCGCGATTGTTACACATAGGAAATGAAACTATTTTTCCGGATTTAAATCGCGTATTTATTAGACAAACAAAGCGAAGTATTTGTACCCGCGTCAAAGAACATATAGGTGATGTCAAACACCGTCGCGTAAACAAGTCTGCAGTCTGCGAGCATGTCATGGATAAACCTACACATTCAATGAAGTTTGACAAACCCCAGGTCCTTGCAAAAGAAGTCCGTTATCTACCCAGGATTCTGCGAGAGGCCATTAAAATTAAAAACACATCCTAATTTCAACAGGGAAGATGGTTTCTCGGTACCACCAGTTTGGGATCCAGTATTTCCTCTAATGAAAAATCCCAAACAGACATAAGACTGCAGTACTAATTAATATGTTTTAGTTTATTCTAATTTCTATTAATAATAAATTGAACTTAATAAAAAATCATTCGATAAAATAATTTGTAAAACTTAATATAACGTAAATTGGAATGTTTTCTTTGTAAAATTAAAAATAAGGTATTTAATTAATAACTATTGTAACTATAGTGAAAAAATAGGGTGGTTTGCATCAATATTAGACATAACTGGTTGAAGACTGTACCACCTCAGTCAACCGTGACCATGGAACCGAAACGTCGGTTTGTTTGAAAAAACAAATATACGCGATTTAAATCCGGAAAAATAGTTTCATTTCCTATATGTAAAGGTAGCTACTATACGGTAAAAAATTAACCTTAAGTATTATGCAATCTTCATAAAGCTATTTAATTAAATCTTAAAACTCTAATAGTGTAGTTGCGATGCCTAAACTAATTAAATAAGTACCTGTATTTTTAGGCATCTAGTTTGTGCATATTAAATGTCGTTTGACCTTAACACGATTGTTTAACTAAACATTGTAGTTTTATCCTTATATAGTTATTTTTATTTCTACTTCATTGCGTAATGAAATTGAATTAAAAAATATGACTGCTTACAAACTAAACATTTATTTTATTTATTTTCGGAAAATTACCCAACAATAGTCTTTAACTGCCTAAATAGCATCCACACTCGTCTTGCTTTAGTTAGAGTCGACTGCTGGGGTTCTGTGCAGGCCACAATCATCGATCTAAAAATACATTTTGACTCTTATCTTTGAATTATCGTGGCTACCAAATCGTGATTTTCATAAAACATTTGCCGATAGTGTATTTTTTCCATTCCTTTGATGTAATTATATTTTCTTTTGTTTGCAGATTAGAAAAAGTAAAAGAGGACAATGATTTTATTAGGTCAGACGTTTTGAAATTTGTGTCACAGTGTCAGGTAAGTTTACACTTACATATGTACAGGCCCTTCGAGTTATTTGTAACATGATTGGTGGACGTCGGTTTGCTAGTGGACGTCGGTTCGAATTCGGCCGGATCGAAGAAATTTTTTCTAGGTGTTCTATTTTTGTTATTAATAATTATAACAAACTAGTGCAGCAATTTCACAAAAAATCAATTAATATCATGGTAGCAAAACATCGTGACATTCAATAAAAACTTGAAAATTACAAATATATCATTTGAGTTGGTAGTGTTTCTCCATATAATGACGCTATAAGACAACCTCGAATGACAATACGTACAGTATGCCTTAAGAGCAAATTTAAAATCAGTTATACGATTTAGATATACGTGTGCATATATGAATGATGACAACTTGTTGGTCAGATTCCGGATGAACATGTCGTACGCCATATGAAGCGTAAAGCTTTATATGAATCTTGGATATATCCACAACATAAAGATGGCACCCCAGCCTACGTCAGTCCTCCACAGTCCCCTGATATTAAGGTGATAGCGGAATAATTTCATTCAAATTCGTTAAATAACTATCTTCGCCGCCGAATGGTTACCACACTGGGCTGCAACGCGGAGATCCCGGGTTCATACCCGGGTCTGGAGAAATATTTCTACGGACAATATTTATTTCTCTCGTGAGTTTGGGTGTAATTTGTAGTTTTCTATGTTTGTGTCTACAGCACCAGCGATACAGGGTTTTCTCTGGTGCGGGACTATGTGTGTGTGCGTTATTATTATATTATATTATATTGTATTGTATTGTATTGTATTGTATTGTATTGTATTGTATTGTATTGTATTGTATTGTATTGTATTATATTGTATTGTATTGTATTGTATTGTATTGTATTGTATTGTATTGTATTGCATTGCATTGCATTGCATTATATTACATTATATTATACTATATTATACTGTATTACACTATATTATAGTACATTATACTACATTATATTATATTATATTTTAAACTTTTTGTTTTGGTCTTTCACAGTACTACCCCGGCGAAGAAATGGGTATAATAAAAAGAGGCACTTTGGTTCCTTTACCTCGTAAGAACCTAGCCTTTGAGAACGGACGCATCAGCGAGTGGACCGGCAAATGATGTTATCTCACTCTAACTCGCATCTTCGATATTAAGAGAACGAGTCACGGATAGTTTTGTCCGTGCAGTTCTGAGCTTTATTACACGACATAGTAAAATCCCGTGTTGTTACTGAATGAATGTTTGATTACACGGCAAATTCTTTAGCAGTGACTGGCAGTGACTTTCGAAATCTTGTATCATTTGACGTTTTTCCATGGGATGACAGATCGTAATTGCAATCAGTTGTCATTATCAAATGTCAAACAATGCACTATTACGATAGACATAGAATGTTTGATATTAAACATCAGTTTTAAAGATGCACACTATACATTTTCAGATGTAGATTATAAGTGAAATTTTTGTTTTACTTCAATAAAAGTAGTTGTAATATCACCTCAAAACCGATTTATTGTGTTCTAATGTTATTTTTAATATGAGAATGCATAGTTTTTATCTAGTTAAAGCCATATAAATAATCTAGGTCATAGTCAATTAATATCTTAATTATATCGAGTTCTTAGGTTTTCGCGATTGTTACACATAGGAAATGAAACTATTTTTCCGGATTTAAAGCGCGTATATTTGTTTTTTCAAACAAACCGACGTTTCGGGCCCTTTGCAGGTTCCATGGTCACGGTTGACTGACCGTACTGACTGTGACTGTGTGCGACTGTGTATAGGGTTCAGTCAACCCTGACCATGGGACCTGCAAAGGGCCCGAAACGTCGGTTTGTTTGAAAAAAGTATTTTAAAAAGTATTTTAACTGTGTCGTAAACATTTTGTTTGTTGCGTCCTTTTTATGAGAATCTTGTTTATATTGAAATTGTTAAAGATAATTTTTTTTTACTATTCGATTGAGAATTTTGAATAACATTCTGTGCTAGCTGATCATGAATTCACAATTATGCATAAAGAAATGTAAACAGTATTCTGTTACGTGTTGTTTTTGTTTTATAATGTATTGTGAAAATTTATTTACTGCTAAACGTTATCTCGAGTTTATATTTATTATTTGTAACTGACGTCATTTATGACGTGTTCAGTATGCACCACACATATTGACACGGAACCACATTAAGCCGGTCAGAAAAAGCGTTATGTCCAATAAGAGCGAAATAAACGTCGTTTCGCTTCGTCGTCCGAGCCAGTATTTATTTTTTCTATGCTATTTAAGGGAGTCACCACACTTATCGGCACGGATTCGCATTAAGCCAGCATAATGCAAATCCATATCGATGTGCTGTGACACCCTAACGCGTTTCTGCATCGATAAGTGTGGTGATTGCCTTTTTCTCGTCTAAGGAGTGAATGAGGCGATAGACGTTTCCCCATTGCAAATTATGACGGATACAAAAATCGAGTCGTCTGCATTTTATACTTAAGGGCTAGAATACAAAAATAATTGAACCTTGTAAATGTTAAAATTTTCAACACCGAATTATAAAAATGTTTAGTATGCCAGTTTCAAAATTATATAATAGTTTTTGATCAATCAAGACATTGTTGAAGCTTAGGGCATTTAATACTGAAAATGCAGTGGCTTCAATTAATTATGTATCCCGGAGTATAGGTTGATATTTTTGCAGTGTATAGGGATTTGTTGTTATGATTATTTGACGAATTTATTAAATCACAAAGTTGACAATTTCCTTGTATATCTTCTTCACAACACCAGTTCCATGCCGATTGAAGTTGAGTTGAAACCTTAATTTTTATATTTCGTTGGCGTTGTCCTTTCTTAAACACGCTTTTAGCGCTAGTCACAAATGCTGGGTGAGTCATGGCAAATTTAGACATGATAAATGCGTGTACCCTGACACTTGCAGTGTTTAAGTATATAAATAGCTACTGAAAAATATCCATATGAACACAATTAAGGAGTCATGGTAGAAGTAAATTAAGAGTCTAAACAACCTCAAAAGGCTTTAGTTGATTCCGCATAACTGTGAATGTTTTGGATATATCAAAAGAATTTTGAATAACATGGCAAAAATATGTAGTAAAATTGAGGATATAAATAGATTACTATACAGTGTGAAAACAGAATTTTCACGATAAAAGCAAACTCACCTTGAAATTTCACAAGAAAATCAGCTGTATTCAATACATACTATACATATCCCAATGATTTTTTTATATCAACTGAACTAAACAGAACACATATAGTATACGATATATAAGAAGGACTCTTAAATCGAATACGTAATGTCATGTAAAGTTATATCTTAGGACAAGTATTATTACCAACGCAATCAGCAGTGACCATGAGGGACTTTATTTTACAGTATCAAGCAATATTTTTTATTATATCAAGCAACGGGACGAAAAAGTCGTGCGCCCGGCGGGAAGCCACACGCCTATCCGTGACACTTACTGTGCCACTTAGAACTTTAAATCGCGAAGATTGAAATGGCATGGCTGATGAATGGATGGCTGCGTCCATCACCCTGAGACATAAGTTAACAAGTCCCATTTGCCTGTACAACCCTGAACGAACAAGGAGCTCTACAACCATTAAGAGCTCTCATGCCACAAAAGTTTTGACGTTGGCTCCGCCCAAATTTGTGAAACAAATATATGCCTGAAGTTCGCGTGACATGCGACAGGAGATGTTGCATTTTGCGCATTAAAAGTACGAAATTCGTTTTAGCGAAATAACTCTAAAACTAAAGGGATTAAAAAAAATCCGTAGTGACAGTTGTCGATCATGCATAAATATAATTAATTATCTAATTTTTGTCCTAATAACCTGTAGCATTTCGAGGATAAATCGAAAAAATGTGAAAATTAGAGGTCATTTCGTGATTTTTATCTATAGAGGAAACTTTATTGTTTCATGTTTCTAATTAATGTCTATGCTTGAATATATCGTGTAGTTACTCATATAATATTTTATTTTTAATTTTAAAGTGGATATACCCCTCTAAAATCTAATCGAAGATTAGGAATTTTTCCTCTGCTCCCTCTTAAAAACGATTTCGGGATTTGTAGAGCCCGAAAAGTTGGTTTGCTTATAAAAAAAATATTTACTATGATCCGAAAAACACTTTAATTTCCAAAGATAATTTCTTTTTATTTTATTTTGTGTCTAGTATAAATGAAAATGTTAGTTTAATTTTTCTAAATATGTGCTTTATATCATTTACATTTAAAGTTTCACGGCATCCATCCGTCCTTTATAAACGCTTGCCACTCTTTTCGCTACGAAAAATACCGAGTAGCGCCTAAGCAAGTCAAGCCAAGTTGCGTCCTGTAACGTATTTATTTGAAAGTCACCAAAGTGGCATGCTCATACTATGCGTATGGTTGGTTTCTAGTTTTTTTTGTTACGGAAAAGGCAAAGGTTTAAAAGCATGCTACCAAATCTTAGTGAATTTTTCTTTTGCTACTTTTAAGCGTCAGTTTATTATATTTCATAGGCATTATAAGCCTTGAACCCGCATCGACGTCGAACTACATGGATCCATTATTGTTTATATTTATGATTTTTATGATGTCTTAAGACGTCTAGGTGTTGCATGTAGAAAAAATTAGTTCTCGAAAATTCGCAACATTGAGGCTGACCTCAATTTAAATTAGCATTTATACATTTGCGACAATGATAATCGCTCGTAGATTTTGTGTAGAATGATTTTTTGTTAGTTCATAGTAAATGTAAAATATGTATAATATGCTTATCTGTTTTAACTTTCGACTTCCGTTGGGACTTCACGAAATATGTGCAAAAATAAAAACCATCCTTATGTCAAAGAACTGAACTGCACTTTTGAGTCATTTTCACACTAATTTCAGTTTCAATTAAATAATTTTATTAGACCACTAACCATTTTGAGGCCAACTAGACATCTACCTACAAGTATAAAAATCATTATAAAAGTACAGTACACAAAATTGTTTTATTTTCATTGTTAAGTGTTATTTAATGTTAAAATGTACGAATGTAGAATACAACAGTAGAGATAAATGTTTATAACAAACTGCCTCGCTTATGTTCATATTATGCAAAGCAAATAAATGTAAATAAATATGTGGTTTATTTTATTTATTAACTTATAGACAGAAAGTACTTTGAGCACAAACGACTGCCTTGGTGGCCCGACGGTTAACTATGGGCACTAGATGCGGTCCCGGGTACGATTTCCGGTAGGGCGTAACGTTTCTTTTTTTATGATTCCAATGACCGAACGAACAAGTTCGATACAAAATATATTTACATATATATGTAAGTATTGAATGTAACGCAATGATTGTTAAAACGTATAAAGCGTAGGCCTCACCGCGAACGAAGCTTGCTAACTTAGCTCACGTAGTTGCATGCAACCATCTATGCCAACTAAGCTAACTTAGCTAGGCTCAGGTAATGGCATGCAAAACTAAGCTAAGAAAATACGTATAAGTCGTCACTATAGATAGTAGTTCAGTTAGCTCGTTTAGCTCAGTTCGCGGTGTGAACCGAAGTATGAAAAGATACCCCGGCGACGTGAGCTAAGCTAAGTTAGCTCATCTTCGCTCGCGGTGTGGCTTGCGCATAAAACTGACAAAAAAAAGGCAAGTTTAGTGTAAATACCTACTTCAAAATTCTAATAGGATTTTATCAGTTCTTTCTTGAGCTTAAAATATTTGATTCAAAGTATGTTACTCTTACACTACCTGACTTTATGGGCGCATTTATCGTCGTCTGCCGACCTTCGGCAGACTCCTTCGATGCGGTCGACTTCGGCTGCAAACTACTTTCGTCAGACGATTCATTATATATCTACACCGGGTAACTTCGCTTTGGGCGGCCAAGCGAATGCCGTCTGGACGACTTGGTGTAAATGCGCCATCAGTCTTATAAGTATTCTTTACGTTTCGTGTTCTACCGCAACTCATTTAAGCGTGTAAATCTTGTATATATGCATATGTATTTTTGCTATTTTGTCTTGTCAATGACCAACCTCCTTTAGCGTTGCAACGTGTCTGCTTGTTGCACGGCCTGGTACATATATACAAATAAATGGAAAGCCCTCTTTTCGACGACTCGGTAACTGGACCCGTGATTCAGATGGTTAGAGCAATGTTACGTACGGTGCAGCATGGACATAACAGCCGCTATAACAAAAATTGTCAATAAATAAGCTACTACTTTTAATCTGATTACAACGTGCTGTGGCTGTGAATAAACCTTTTTTTTCATCCTCTAAGGAATAAACGCAGTTCTTAGTATTCGTTATTTAAAAAACAAGGAATAGGTCCGTTCAGCACTTGTATGTACATACTAAACTACTAGACAATAACTCTGAAAAAATAGTTCTCATTAGACTTATACCGAATATTCGGTTACTTTTCGATATTCGGAATCGAATACTGAATATTGAATCACTATTCGGCCAAATAATGATACCAGAAAAACAGCAGAAAAGAAAAACTCAGTAAATTAAGAAACTTAATAATTCATTTTAAGTCTGCGATAGCGCAATGTTGCGCTTCTTTAACTAAAACATCATAGGAAATTATAATTACTAGTAATAATAGTTGTTATAATATT